CACAGAAACGCACACACACGCACACACACACACGCACACACACGCACACACACACACGCACACACACGCGCACACACGCACACACGCGCACACACACGCGCACACACACACCTCACTGGCGTCCTCCTGGCGAGCCAGGGTGCGGCTCCTCCTCCTCGACGCCCACGGGAAGGGAATTTCACACCAACAGCGTGATCCACCAACCCTCACTCGTTTCAAGCTTCTGTAACACTGCCTGTGCGGTGTGTCCTCACCCACCCCCCCCCCCGAGTTGTATACCCCCCCCCACCTCTCCCCGCACACCCCCCCCCCCACCTTCTAAACGAGATCCTGACTCGGGGGGGGGGGGCTGCTTGGTTGGTGCCGTGTGGGTCAGGTTGCACCCCAGTGGGCTGGGGGTGGTGATGGAGGGGGGGGAGGGGGGGGGAGGGGGGGTACTCACCAGCAGGCCGGGGGGGCCCGACTCGCCCGGGGGCCCCGGGAACCCGGGGGAGCCGCGGCTGCCGGGGCCGCCTTGCTCGCCCTTCTGTCCCCCGACTCCAGGCGTCCCTGGGAAGCCAGTCACCCCCTCGGGGCCTGCGGTTCAACCACCGCAGGGAGAGAGAGAGGGAGAGACGTCGAGAAACACGAGGGGAATGATTTAGACTCGCAGAGCGGTTGCTTGAACGCTGAAGCACTCACCGATTCACTCCAAGAACAACAACCGCCATTCGCCACTAAGTGGTGTTGACGTCACCACGACGCTTGTGCCAGGCTATGTGCACGTTGAGGCAACGTGAAGTGTCGAACGCCCGCTGGCAGGGGGTCACGGGGCAGACCCAGGTGCCACGGGTCGACTGGCTGAGACGACTGAGATGAGTGGCTGATGCACCACCTGTGCCCCCGAATCTGCCAACTGGCTGTGCTTTAGCCACCCGGCGCTCCGCTCGTTGTTGTGAGCATCACTCCTCCCCCCTCCGTTGTTGCTGGTGGGCGACTGCCTCCAACTTCCCAGTAGCGTCCCTTCACAACCCCCTCCTGGATTAATTTACCACGAAACAGATTCCCTCCAGTCACTCGCTCTCCAGCGGTGAGTTGCCTCCTTACTCCTCTGCTATCGCTACTCCCGTGGCAGGGGGTGGGTGGGTTTAAATGATGGGTGGGTGGATGGGTGGTTGGGGTGGCGCAGCAGTGGCATTGATTGGGGGCGGGAGGGGGGGGCTGCGCTAACAGCAAGGATGAGAACGGCCACGTTAGAGCCAGAGCCTCACGCACCGGGAAGCCCAGGCAGCCCGGCCGGCCCGGCGTTCCCCTTGGCACCGTCAGTGACCTGGCCCGGAGCGCCCGGAGGGCCCTGCTGGCCCGGTGGCCCGTAGAATCCCTTCTGGCCCTCTTCGCCCTTGGGGCCCTGCATCCCGGGTGGGCCCACGTGGCCCGGAATGCCGGGGTCGCCCTTCTCGCCTGACGGAGGAAGGGGGCGCAAGACGCGTTGGTGTAACGGTGATGAAAGTGGAGGGGGGGGGGGTAGAGAGGGGGGCGGAGAGAGGGGCAGAGAGGGGTCGCGATATTTCGAGGCTTCAGACTGGTTCCGTGTAGAAGCAGGGAACAGAACGGAGAGATGCATCATGGAATTATGGGCTTCATAGCTTCAAAAATCCGCGTGACACCTGCAAAGGAGATTATTTCGTCGCTCCGTCTCATTTGGCTGGACATCCTCTCCAACACGTTCCGTTCCATGGCTGCCACTCCTCCACTATTCGTCACCACCGGCCAGCATCTCTTCGAGCGACACATCCTGCCCAAACCCACTTGCATTTCTTGACAGTCGGAACGCTCCGTCTCACCTGCGTATGCTCTCTAATTGTGCGTTCATCTCAATCTCAATGTAGTTACAAACGTGCAGGTTACAACGTTTACCCCTCTGGTGCCGCGATGTTAACTCCCTTGTCGAGTATACAGGAGGTCATGAGTTCGATCCCAACCCTGACGCCTGGATATTTGGAGTTTGTGTGTTCTCCCCGTGGTCGCGGGGATTATTCTCCGGGTCCTCAAATTTTTCCCTCCGCTTTTAGAATCGTTGAGCTGTCATTTGTGCCCCAGTGTCTTCCGAAAAGAGCTATTATCGAGCTCAGTGGGCCTTAGCTGGTAAAATAAAACCTTGACTTAAAGCTTTCGTGACTGCAGGAATTCATATTCTTTGGGTCTTTCGGTAAAGTCACGTAGATCAAACAATAAAATAATAAAAATGAAAATAAAGTTAAAAAAAAAATTATCACGACGTTTCGATCGCAACACAAGCAATCGTCATCACTTTATTTTCATTTTTCTTTATTGTTCTATTCAGGGGCGGAGCCAGGGGGGGTGACAGGAGTGACATTCTGCGTATAAGTGTACGACACTCGGTCTGGTGGACTCCGTGCACCTACATTGTCAGAGTGTGTCGCCAACCGATGGCGTCTAGCTCAACAGCCTGACTCTCTAATCATTCTTGAAATTAAAATTTGTTGAATGTCACCCCGGCCTGAAATCCTGGCTCCGCCCCTGGTTCTATCTACGTGACTTTACCGAAATACCCAAAGAAAAATAAAACCTGTTTAGTTTAAGATGCGCACTGAGCCAAGGCAGTGCTGCCCCTCGCCAGGCTGGGGGCACGAGGGACGGATTGAGGCACTCCTGAGTGCCGTCCGCTGTGCCAGCTGTTATCGACAAATGAATGAGTGTTTACATGCAGGAGGAAACCGATATTGATACCGATATTGATTAGTGGGCGCCACGGTGGCGAGATGTCAACTACCTCGCCTGGTAGACGGGAGGTTGTGGGTTCGATTCCGACCCTGACGCCTGCAGCTGTATATTTGGAATTTGCGTGTCTCTCTCTCATCATCACGGTGGCTAGGAGATGTTAACTACCTCGCTTGGTCTACAGGAGGTCGTGGTTTCGATCTCGACCCTGACGCCTGCTGTTGTATATTTGGAGTTTGCGTGTCTCTCTCCCCGCCTGGACTTTTCTCCGGGTCCTCTGGTTTTTCCCTCCACATTTACAATCAACGTCAAGCGTTCAGACTATTTGGCCGCAATAAAGTTCCACGTGATAAGCCACTTCGTCGAGCTATCATATGTGGTCAGGTTACTTCTGAAAAAGAGCTATTATATAGCTCAGTGGGCCTTAGCTGGTAAAGCCAAAGAAGTGCTGCCATTCGCCACGCTGGGGGCAAAGGGGGATGAACCTGAGGCAGCCGTGAGTGCCGTTCAGTGTGCCGGCTGTTATCGACAAATTACCGAGAGCGTTTACACGCGGGAGAAAACCCATGTTGATATCGGAACGATCTCGTCGCGTGCCGAGGTGGCACGCGACGTCTGTCGGCCGATCAAAATTTTTCTTTAAAAAAAATTTTCTCACCGGGGTGGCCAGGTGAACCGGGGGGTCCAGGCGTCCCGAGGCCAGGAGGGCCTGCGCAGGGGAAAACACAGCAAGCGGCGTCAGTGCCTGTGTAACAGCGCCTTAACGTCGTTAAATATAAACCGCAAGAGAAGATGCCGACAATCATGTCTATTGTGTTACCCAGAGTGGGTAACATCATTTGATGAAATATATTTCTTCACAATTTTAACAATCGGTAAACTTGATATTGACACTACTATACTTATTTATCATATAACTTCCTATGGAGCTCTCACAACCCAGCTTACCCCCAACTGCTATTTCACCCCTTTGTATATCTACTCTCCTACTCCCTACGTTGCCCTAACTGACTGTGACTGCCCGCTAACTGCCTCAACTAACACCCCCGTGGCTGCCCGCTAACTGCTTAACTGACAGCCCCGTGGCTGCCCATTAACTGCCACAACTCACACCCCCGCGGCTGCCCGTTAACTACCCCAACTGACAGCCCCGTGGCTGCCCATTAACTGCCTCAACTCACACCCCCGTGGCTGCCCATTAACTACCCCAACTGACAACCTCGTGGCTGCCCATTAACTGCCCCAACTGACAGCCCCGTGGCTGCCCATTAACTACCCCAACTCACCCCCGTGGCTGCCCGCTAACTGCCTCAACTCACACCCCCGTGGCTGCCCATTAACTGCCCCAACTCACACCCCCGTGGCTGCCCGCTAACTGCCTCAACTCACACCCCCGTGGCTGCCCATTAACTACCCCCACACTCCACCTCGCACTCACGAGCTGCAAGAGCGGATAGCTCCGTCCACTCAGTGGCGCCGACAAGGCTCACACTCAGCACCGCGAGTCGGGAGTCCTGTCCCCACAGCTCCCCGCTATGATGTTATACCCCCCCCCCCCCCCCCATCATAGAGCCTCTTGACTTCCTTATACGCAAGGATCATGCTTCACTACACCCACGCGAACCTGAGCACGGCGACACTCTCAGTGCAACTTCGACATTTGCCGTTTGTTGCTGGCCGCTTCACGTTTTGGGCCGTCGGGCCAAAGTGCTCGGCAACCGTGTGTAAAAAAACAAAAACCGTAACGGAAGTGCGCACGTCCGCACCTGGATCCCCTCTGCTGCCGATGGTGCCGGGAATTCCGTCTCTGCCAATGGATCCCTTCTCCCCAGGAGAACCAGGAAATCCCGGCTGTCCTCCGATACCTCGTAAACAACATCAACATTGTTATTGTCATCACTGCTATCATCATCAACTTTTCCATCATGGGTCAGCAGCAACGCATTTTCATCGCTTGTTGCAGAGGTTAGCGGTTCAATTCCGGCAAGCTGCCCTGGTCATTACCGCGAGTGTATTAGCCGTAATTTATTACACGCCGTTGTCGTGCAAAACAAGTCAGGTCCACCGTGTGCGGGCGTCGTCTGACTGTGATCGAGAGATGTTTGCTCGAGTTATTGACAGCAACAATTGGCCGTGCTTCCAATGCGTAGGGATAACGTGCGCGTGAGTGCTGCACGGTCTGAGTGGGATGTCGACGTTTGGTTTGCTGAGTTTTTGAGCCAGGCCTGGGCCAGGATTGGCCAAGGACAGTGCTGCCACTGTTCGCCCGATAGCACAGACTTAGATATGTCCATCTTGACTTGTGATAAACAGCACACAATTACATGCATTTAAGAACAAACGATTAAATTATTTTTTACAAATATACAATAGATTTAGTTTTTTACTCAAAATCCAATCAATGATCTTCTTCCTGTCTGGGACACATTGTGTCCAGAGTCCGTAGCATGGGGGATGGCCTTAACCCCCGTGGAGACACAGACACTCTGGCGAGGATGCATGCATACATACTCGTGTGTGTGTGTTTGTGTGTGTACCTGGAGGCCCAGGGGGGCCTGGTTGACCAGGGCTGCCTGAGAGCCCAACCTGTCCTTTGGGACCCTCCCTGCCACTGTCTCCTGCAAATGCGCACACACACACACACAAAGACAAATATAGCCTTGAACAGACTGCTGGGGCGAGTGCTGTTTGCGAGAACCGGCACGGCACACGAGGGGGTGGGTGGCCAGCATCACGCCAGACCGCCTTTGTCTCCCCAGCGGCGATGTTCTTGCACACCACACCAGGTGCTCATTTATGGCTGGGTCAGAATGCGAATCAGAATCTTTATTTATCCTGCAGAAATCCCATGAGCTATGAAGCAGTTTTTCAAAGATGTCCAGTCGACCTAGAGGTGGCCCAGGACTGGTTTAGATATTCGTCACCGATGTTGGCCGTGATCAGTAAACGCACACACAGCATGCAAACACGTGGAGACACGAACTTAAAGTGAGAACACACTGGGACAGGTGCATCACAGGCCTGGTGGGCCCTACCTGGGAGGCCACCGATGCCCGCATCTCCTTTGGGGCCATCTTTCCCCGGAGCTCCGGGCATCCCTGGTAGGCCCGTGGACCCCTTGAGTCCAGGAGCCCCTGGCTGGCCCGGCTTTCCTGGCTCTCCCTGGGCGTGGGGCGGGAGGGGGCATGCACAGACACGTATACGTTCACACATCACGTACACACAAAGATCCCCTCTTGTCGTGAGCACCTAGGAATGCTGGAAAGATGCACATGGAGATGGTGTGACTAAGATGTGTTAACATCCCCAGTGATGATGTTTACACACCGCACCAGGTACTTAGTTGAGGCTGAGTAAACCTAGAGGAGGCCCGGGAATGGTTCAAATGATCGTGACTGGTGTTGGCCGTGAGTGGAAATCAAACTCAGGTCAGTGAAATCGTGGCGCAGCTCGCTAACCGCTGCACCGCCGCTCCCCATTCAGTATGAACGCAAACACAAAGATCCCCCGTAGAGCCTGAACAGACGAAAGAAGCAAGCGATGTTCGCGAGCACCTATAAAGGTCAGCACGACACACGAGGGGGTGGGTAGGTGGCCAGCACTGCACACGTCAACCCGTGTTGGCCGTGACCGGGAATCGAGCTCAGGTCGCACACGCAAAACGCACGCACCTGTATACGGTTACCGAGAGCAGACCAGAGTCTGAAATGTGGCTGCAAAAACTTCACCTGAACTCCGAGCAGCCCGGGAGCTCCTATCCCAGGCGCGCCGGAGTTCCCCTTGTCTCCCTTGAGTCCCAACTGCCCCTGGCTGCCAGGCAAACCTGGCTTCCCAGGGGGGCCAGGGATCCCCACACCCCCACTGGGTCCTGCAACATCACACACGCGCAGACTAAGGTCCCCCGTGCAGCATTTAACATGCTGCCAGGACAAGTGCTGTTATGAAGGCCGGCGCAGCACGTGACGGGGGTGGGTGACCAACACCATGGCCGGCTGCCTTTGTCTCCCCAATGTCAGTGTTCAGACAAAGCACCAGATACTTAATTGAGGCTGAGTTGACCTACGGGAAATCCAGGACCAGTTCCGCTGCGCCGCCGCTCCCCACAACGTACACTTACACCCACACACCAGCGACTATGGCTGAATGTGCATACACTGTAAATATCTGTCACCGACTGCAATATGCATGCAGGAGCAAAAAAGGTAAAGGCCATCGAATCCCGTAACCTCTCAATTGCAAGTCCACCGTGCTGACAGTTACACGATGGTAGCTCGCAATTCATGTCACGGCTTGAGTCGTGAAGGCCTTATAAAATGAGGTCGCCAACTCGTCACGCCCGAGAATACGGTTAAATGTCGGGTGCGTGGAAGAGGTAGGCGGAGTTGCGTGTGGGTATGGAGGTAGTGACGCAAGTCCGTAGGATGTTTCATCGGAGCGATCACTGTGGACCGCGCACACATCGCAGTGGGTGGATCAGCCTTTACCTGGGAGGCCCATCTCTCCCATGGAGCCCTTCTGGCCAGGTGGGCCTGGCTGCCCTGAGAAACCGTCAGAACCCGGGTTCCCCTTGGGCCCTGAAATAAACGCACGAGCACGTCGTGCACACACACACACGCACGCACACGCACGCACACTCTAGATGAAGGACCAAAGGACTCGCGCGAGTCGCACTGGGGACTGAGACTGGCCCGGCGTTTGGCTGCAATTCGCCCACGCGCCATCGCGTTTGAGATCTTTTGGGGCGTTTTACAAAAAACAACGTGAGAGCCTGGAAGCTTCATTCAGGGCCACGGACACTGCCCCGGCCATAATACGCGTCGCTCTCTGCTTCACGCGAGTTGCCTCTAGATCCTCCTGGAACGGAAAACGACAGAGAGAAGAATCTCCGATCTTTCGTTCAATGTAGGCCATTGTGTGCCAGCGACACAGTCCCACATTTGCCAAGGACTAGAAATGTACCCACGAATCCCTCAATTGAGGCTGCACATTGCAATCATCGCCCCCTACTAAAGACTGACTTGCGGACCAGGTTCTGAGTCGCCTTTTGCCACACAGGGACAGCTGACACTGGGGGTGCCCTTTAAAAATGCGTTTAGACGAGTTGCCGATGTGAGCCGCCTATCGCGTGCGAAGTGTTCAGAGCCGTCCCGGCGATAATTCGACGAGCATACATTAAAAACACTCAGGGAACCCTGGTGCATCGCTTCGCGCTGTTGATGCCTTACAGCGGGTAGTCTACAGAGCACTACCTCTGCTCTTTCGCACCATATGCCCATGCCGTTTGCTGCATTCCCCGCAGCTTCGACGTCACCGACGATGGCGACGCGGCTCACCTGCGCTCCCGTCCGTGCCGCGGAGACCCTCGGCCCCGGGGTTCCCCGGCAAACCCGGAGGTCCCGGTGATCCCTTCTGCCCAGCCTGGCCCGATTTCCCTGTGTGACAGTAGATACACGTAGCCGGACAAAACAAGCAAAGACAAAGATCCCTCGTGCAGCCTCACACGCTGTTGGGGCAAGTGCTGATAGTGGGCGCCCATTAGGGCCGACACAACACACAAGGGAGTCGCATGGCTTGCACCACGCCTTTGTCTCCCTTGTGGTGATGTTTTCACACCGCACCAGGAACTCATTTGAGGATCGGGAGGCCTAGGGGAGGCCCAGGACCGGTTCAAATAATTGTCACTGGTTTTGGCCGTGAGCGGGAATCGAACTGGGTTCGTAGAGCAGCGCGCTAACCGCGACAATACCACTCCCCACACACACTATAAAAAAAACAAAGACAGAGATCCCCCGTATAGCCTTAACAGACTGTTGGGGCAAGTGCTGTTAGCGAGCACCTGTGAAGGCCGGAACGGCACACGAGGGGGTGGGTGGCTAGCACGACGCCTGGCTGCCTTTGTCTCCCCAGTGGCGATGTTGACACACCGCACGAGATACGCAAATACACATGCAGTATACTCCTCTAGCCACCATACCCAGTAGTTAAGTAATGGTACAACCTCATCATCATGACCAATACCATAGGTTCCTAGTTCATTCCGTTCAGTGTAAGCTCAATTAACCGTGTCACCTGACCCAGCTTCTAAATTAGGTGTCATGACCTTACACGAACAACCAATCAGATTTACACTAGATATTAACCATTACAAACCACACATTCAAATATCATTCAAATTTATCCGGGCCAACGATTAACATCATCATACGCATTGTCCATGTAACAGCGAAAATGAGACATTCCCGAGTTAAGTTAGAACTGCAGAAAATTTGGCCCGATCGTCACGTGACCCGACCGCAGAATCGATCAGGAAGGATCTTCGTGGGTGCACCGCATGCACGGGTGGCGACGCGACGACGACGGCGGCGGCGGCTCCGTACCCTCCTGTCCCTTCTCGCCCTTCGGGCCCTGTAGCAGCTGCTTGTCGGCAATGGTCATGGGGCTCCCCGGGAGTCCTCGCTCCCCCTTGTCTCCTTTGGCGCCCCCGTGTCCCGCGTCGCCCGGCGGCCCGTGCTGACCCGCGATGCCTGTAGCAGCGCGGGAAGGATGTGTTGAGCAAGAGAGAGAAAGAGGCAATGCCCACCGATAAAGCTGGCCGCACAAAGGGAAATAGTGCAGCCCCGAGTTTCGTTTGCTCTCTCACGGCCACTGCTGACGGAAGAGCCTTACCCTTAACGCAATGTATATACCGCCTTGGCCAAGGCGCTTTAAGGATAACTAAGAATGGTACGTGTGAATGCAATGGTGGAGATGCGGTGAATAAAACAGACGAGAGGAAGTAATGGGCGAATCTGTGATGCGTGAATTAGGTAAAAGCAAAATTGATGAAAGCAAATTATGATGAATGGATTGGATGAATGGGGAATGAGTGGTAGCCATGTAATGAGATTATGAAGAGGGAGCAGGAACGTTGGTGATTATGAGGGGGGTATTAAGGGGGGGTCATGGGCTGAGCTCGAGAAAGAAAGTGAAATTTGAGGGAGGAGTGGAGAGCAGTGAGCAATGATGACTGCCTCCGTTAGAGGGAGCTCGAGAGAGTACTTGGTCTACCCTTCCACGCCGACTGCCAGGTGAATCGGAAGAGGCGGCCATACCCACGCTCTACCCCTCACACGCGGCCTGCCCATCGACTAACTGCGGCAGTACCCATTCACACCGCTGCGTGGATAGAGGCGGTGAGGATTCCGGAAAACTCTGCTGCCGTGGGAAATCGAACCAAACTGGCCACGGGCGTGCTGACCTTTGAACCACGGTGGTGGTGCATGTCCGTCATTCTGTTTATAATTCGAGAACTAAAAGTAGTGCCGGTTTTGAGTCATTGACCAAAAATACTAAATACAAGTGACCGAGTCAGGAACACCACCACACAGTTCACAATCCACACCCGGCACACACACCGCCCCACGCACAGCGCCCGGCAAATCCCCCACGAACACCACGGAATAAACAGCACCAACACCGCAGGTGCCATCATGGACGGCAGGCACAACGAGAGGGGCGAGTGTCAGTTGACTGAACTCGGGGAGCGGTCACCTGTGGGGCCAGCGAGGCCAGGACCCCCCACCTGCCCCACGGGGCCTTGGGGCCCAGGAGTTCCCATGACCCCCATCTCCCCCTTGGCTCCTGGGGAGGGAAGACACGCACAGAGCACAGTACACAGAGCACGGTCACGCACAGAGACGGAGACACCTCCCCCGCACTCCCTGCCCCCCCCCCTGCCCCACATGTATATACCGGTATATATATACCTGTATATATATAGATACACAGGTATATACGCATACAGATACACAGGTATATACATATATAGATATGTATATACAGGTATAATTACAGGTACATATAGACACTACACGCCGCTACTACACTTGTCCCTGGTTCCTTCCGGAACGATGCAGTCCGGTTGAAATCTTCACTCCCTCCACGGCGTTCCGGGGCGTTCCGGCCCATTCCCACCTCTGCGTAAACCAGAGCCGCTGCGGGCAGCGGCTGTCCCGAGCTACGCGTGGGCTCCGAAGAAGCCGCGTTGTTGTTTTTTTTGTCGTCCAATTGCCGGCGCCAAAAGGTTTCCGATTGGAACCGCGGACAAAGGTGAAGGTTCGTCTCAGCGTGATCACCCGCACGCCGACGGGCGAGACGCCCCACTCACCCGAGTTTCCAGGAATCCCGTCTTTCCCCGGGACGCCCATGGGACCCGGCGGCCCCATCTGGCCTGGCACGCCAGGGAAGCCCGGGCTGCCCTTGTCGCCGGGAGGCCCGGTCAGGTCTAGGCCCGGAGGGCCCGGGTCACCCTTGCTCCCAGCAATGCCAGGAGAACCTGAAATCGATTATTATTATTATTGTACTGAGCATGCAAATTACTGCACGTGCAAAGGTTACATTCAGGCTAACGGGGTGAACCAAACTGTAGGAGTGAGACAAATAAATGAGAAACAATACAAACGGGAAGGTAAAAATGAGACGAAAAGTATCGTGACACCGTATCATGACCATGCGTATGATGACCATGCGTATGATGGTGTGGTCGATGACGGTGAAGTTGATTGTGTAGTTGATGATGAAGCAATGAGTAACAATGTAGTTGATGATAATGATGATGTAAAGGATGATGGTGCCATTGATGATGTCGTTAATCATGATGTAACGAGTGAGAATGTAGTTGATGATGGTGCAGTTGATGATGTTTCATATGACGATGGCGTAGCGGACAATGTGGACGATGCGTGGAGAGGGCGACGCGGGCCGCTGACCTTCCTTGCCGGTTGGGCCAGGTTGGCCGGGTAGGCCAGGTGACCCGGGTTGTCCAAATCCCTTGAGGCCGGGAAGCCCTTGGTGCCCGGGGATGCCCGGAGACCCCCCCTCCCCTGTGCGTATGACAGAGCCCCGGCGGCACATCGCAAGCGTCAAAAGACAAAGATCCCCCGTGTAGTCTTAACAGACTGTTGGGGCAAGTGCTGTTCGCGAGCGGCGCCTGCGCAGGCCGCGTGAGAGCGCGAGGCAGAAGCAGCTCGTATCGTATCGCCACTCGTGCTGTTGATGGTACCGTACCCCTCTGCCTTATTGTCCGTGACCCTCCTTTCATGATAACTGCAACTTGTAACGCGCCGGAATGGAACAGGAGGGGGTCCAAATTTGCTGCACCGCCTTCTCCTGGCGATGGCAGGGTTACAGTACCTCCTCGACAACCACGCGGAAGGGAGCTTCGCAACATTTGCCACGGCGATCCGTCAACCCTCGCTGCTGCCTCCACAGCGCTGGGCCACGGGCCACGTGCAGCGTCGCCGCCACAACCGCCCGGCAAACACCAGGTCACGGCACGGGGCTGGGTCGAGGGGGGCTCTTACCCCTGCTTCCGGGAACGCCGTCCATGCCAGGCCGGCCGGGCATCCCCGGTAGGCCCGGGGATCCCTGCTCCCCCTTCGTGCCGGGCAACCCGCCCTGGCCCGGCACTCCCGGTGGTCCCCGGAGACCCGGCGCTCCGACGCCAGACTCCCCCTGCACGTTGAAGAGACGAACGAGGGATCAGCGGCGATGGACAAACGGAGAAGGGAAAGGAGTCGCCCTCTCGTGAACGAGGCGACGTGCGATCCGCTCGTTGCGCGACCACCCGCCGCCCACCGTGAGTACGCTCGCACGGGCGGCACGGGCGCCGTAAGTCGTAGGGCCACTCCTGAGACCGTCTGCACGGCTGTCGTTCATTTTTTTGTCAGTTGCTTTTCAAATGCCGCACGATAGAGAGAGAGAGAGTGCAAAGGGGAGTTTAGGTGAAGCTGCAACCCAATGGAACCTGGGTGCACCTTTCAAAAAACACATTTGCCATCTCCCATTTTTGTATTCCTATCGTACTCTTGGCGTCGTGCAGTTAACGACGCAGATCCGTACCCTCGTAACTGTCACGGTAAGCAGTGCATCGCTCCGATTGGTGGATGGCCTGTTGAAGGAGATTAACTTCGGACATTTTTGTTAATTCCACACACAAGCGTGGGGGGGGGACATACTTCCTTACATGGTCTGCTCAAGCCGGAATCCTTTCTGGCACTGACAGCCATAGGTGAATTTCAGCCAAATTCTCATTGAAAAACCCCGACCGTCAGACTACTTCCCTTCTTGATGGGCGCAGATGAGAAAGTTGTTTCGTCACGCACCGTTGGCTCGGCGCTCACACCGCGGAAGAATTACCAGCCGATTAGCCGCTGCGCCCTTCGCCGTTCGCTGTGAACTAACGAACTATTTTTATTTTACCAGGTAAGGCCCACTGAACTACGTACTGTAGCTCTTTTTCAGAAGCGGATTGGCCACAAATGACCGCCCAATGAAGTGGATTATCACGTGGAAATTTATCGCTGCCAAATACTCTGAACGCATGAATCTGAATGTGAAGGGGAAAAGGACCTGGAGAAAAATCCACACGACCACAGGGAGAGAGACACGCAAAGTCCAAATATTCAGCAGACGTCGAGGTCGGGATCGAACCCACGACCTCCTGTATACCATGCGAGGTAATTAACATCTCAACTCCGTGGCGTCGCCGTAGCATTACGCGGCGGAGCCCACGCAGAATCAGCGTCGCACGCGCAACGCGCGCTGTGGGTTCGGGAGCAGGGCTCCGCTCCGCTCTTGTTGCCGCTCACCTTGGGTCCCGCTGGGCCCGGCTGCCCTGGGGTGCCATCCTGTCCCGGCCGGCCCGCCGCGCCCGGCCCTCCCGAAGGCCCCGGGACGCCCACCACGCCTGCGACACGGCCACGTGGAAGGAAACTCGGAGTCAACGGCGGGTCATGAACGGGGGGCCACGCCGAGCCCAGCTTTGGCGTGGCGGCCGGCAAGCGCTAAGGTCGCCGCCGACGCATTAGGCTCGGCACGAAATAGCGGCGCGAAGCCTGTTGTTGTGATTCGAATGCTCTGGCCAATTGTGCTGTTTGTTGCTGGCCAACTGGCATTTTGGGGTTGCGCTCAGAAGCCGTGGTAAATAAAAATCAGTTTTGCTCCCACCCTAGGGCACGGCGAATTGGGGCGACTGCCCCAGGCCCCGCGCTTTGGGGGGCCCTGAGCCTCGATGTCGCGGGTGTCAGATGTAATACTTCTGGTTTAGTTTGAAGGCATCGATCGGGGGGCCCACACGGTGGGATTTGCCCTGGGCCCCAAACCCCCAAAACGTACGACCCCGTGATCTTTGCTTAAATTCTGATGAGCACGGTTGGCTACGTACGGTGCGAAAGAGGTTCAACGTGCACACGTACGATTTTTATTCGTGCAGAGAGAGGGTGGCAATGTCAATCGTGGTGGCATTCAGGAACGGGCGGCCTCACTCACCTTTCTGCCCGGTCGCCCCCGGCATCCCGAACCCAGGGAAGCCGGCGTCACCCTTCACTCCCTGCTCCCCCTGCAGCCCCGGGGTGCCGGGGATCCCCGGCATGCCTGCGGCAAAACACGGACATCGCGCTCGGACCGGCCGCCTCGATCCTCTCGCCCCCGTCCGGCACCGCCAAGGTCGCGTGGCTCGACGCTGGGCCTCCTGCCCGTTTTTATTTCCCTACGAGACCAAAACGCAGAGCTCACACCCGCACCTGTACCTAACCTTTCTTTTGGCACCTCTTCCTCCCGCACCTTTTCACTGTCTTTGTTCTCTTTGCGTCACTGTCAGACTAAGATACACAGAGCAGCTTTCTTGCACATGTACCTCACCTTTTCTAGCACCTGTTGCCATCATGCTATATTTGAGCTGTTGTTTTTTGTTGTTGTTATTGTTATTCCCGAGCGTGTTTCGTTCACGATCGTTAAATACCTCGTTTGTTAGTTGTGGAATATTCCTGCAGGACCCTGCTTCACTCGTTCTCCACAACGTCGATGTCTTTGTTGTTGCTGCTGTGCTCACGGTGTCAATCACCGGCTAGGACCTACCAAACTACCACTGTGATTACAGGGGCAATCGGGAACATATCACTTAGACTTCCTGCACCACCATCAGGATCGATTCAGACCCTGACGCCTGCTGTATATTTGGAGTTTGCATGTCTCTCTCGCCGTGGTCGTGTGGATTTTTCTCCGGGTCATCCGTTTTGTCGAGTATTTGGCTGCTATACATTTCCACGCGATAAGCCACTTCGTTGAGCTGTCATTTGTGGGGAGGTCGCTTCTGAAATTTTTTTTTATATAGCTCAGTGGGCCTTACCTGGTAAAATAAAAAATAGTCTGTTAGTAAATAGCTGGGAAAATGGGTATGTAGCCAACTCTGATAATCAGAGGTGTGGGGGAAGGACAATAAACCAAAAAAATAGAAGTTCTCAAGAAATGAGTTTTTTTTTTATATAGATCATTTAAAAGTGCAAAGCTCCAGTGGCTGTCTAAAATCGGAAGGAGCGTTCCAGACGTCCGCAGAAGCGCATCTGAAAGTGACGTGCGACGCGGTGACCGCCGTCAAAGTTTCGGAAGGCCAACCGAAAGCCGCTGCTGCTGCTGCTGCGAGGATGACCGAAGTTCTCGCGATGATGGTTTATGCTCCTTAACAAGATCAGCACCATCCGCGTAACAAATCAAACGAACTCAACGCTCAATCACGCAGCCATGGAGCGACTTGGCAGACCGGAGTTCGCCGCGGGGTTGGTGGTGGGGGGGGGGAAGCGATTACCTGGGGAGCCGGAGGGTCCCATTTCCCCAGGAGAGCCCGGTAGGCCGGGGAATCCCGGCTGGCCCAGTGTCCTGCCGGGCTCCCCCTTGCCACCTGGACACAGCGGGGAGAGGTGCACGCAGGAGGCAGTATTTAGGATATTTAATTCCGAACTTTTAATGCCCTGCACCCCGAATGTTTCGTCGCGCGACGCTCCGACACAATGCGATGACTTCTCAGAGCTGGAATGCAGGCAAATTAAGTGAAACATTTAGAGAACATGACGTGGGGGAGGGGGGATGAGGTTGTGCAGCCATCGGTGGCCAGGTTCAGATCGTCAACTCAGTACACCTGGGGACCCAGTTCAATCACTCGCGGTGGAATACGGATTCACATCCAGGATTCACACTCAGGATTCACACTCAGGAATCGCACTCAGGATTCACACTCAGGATTCACACTCAGGATTCACACTCAGGAATCGCACTCAGGGTCTCAGTGGTGTTGGCTCAGAGTCCCCCGAGACACCCAACCACCTCATTTACAGTGGATTTGTATTCAGTTTTATTTTCGTTTGCCCAATTATATTCCTGATTGTGCTACAATAATAATGGAATCGATAACGGGCACGGCGTTTCACGGACATAAATGAGCATTGCTCTGAGGTGTGGGAGCCAAGCTTGGCGTCGCTTGAAAGCCAGGAGATAGAGGTGGGGCCTTGAAGTGGCTCTTAGTAAAGTCGGTGTGGATTGAACGCTGCCGCTGCTGCTGCTGCTGTAAATGTGCAGCAGCAGCAGTGGGGACGATGACGACGACAATGATGATGACGACGACGATGATGACGACGACGACGACGATGATGATAACGATGATGATGATGGCCGCGTTCCAGACGGCGGGGGCTGCCGCGGAGAGATGGAGGTTCGGTGTTGTGTCGTGAGATGAGCCATCCATTCCATCCAGTGCAAGCCTCCATCTTTTTGGGAATCTACCAATTGTGAGCCGCTTCCTCTACCTCTGCGTCGCCTGTGTGTGTCAGTGTGTGTTAATGAGTGTCAGTGTTAAGTGTGTGTCAGTGTGTGTTAGTGAGTGGCAGTGTTAAGTGTGTGTCAGTGTGTGTTAGTGAGTGTCAGTGTTAAGTGTGTGTCAGTGTGTGTTAGTGAGTGTCAGTGTTAAGTGTGTGTCAGCGTGTGCCAGCGTGTCTTAATAAGACACACGACGACACTTACCGGTCGGTCCTTCCATCCCGGCCCGCCCCGGAATTCCGTCAGTTCCCTTCTGCCCTGGAAGCCCCGAGGGCCCGAATCCTGGAGATCCTGGGGGGCCGCGTTCCCCGGGTGTCCCCGGCATCCCCGCGGAGCCCGGGGGGCCCTGCTCTCCCTTGAATCCGAACGGTGCCTGTGCAGCAGGGGCGGCCACACGAGCGACGATGAGACACTGCGATCGCCTGTCATCGCGTAAGGTCTGGGACTGACGTCCGTAGATCGGCGGGCGGTGTGCGGTGGGGTAAAGTGTGGGTACTCGCACCTGGCCTGCTTTGAAAATAAAGCAAAAGTGCACTCAAGAGGGGAGCTCAAGAGGGGAGCTCCTTCTCGTGGGGGACCTTCGTCGCCAGCGGCAGAAGCAAGAAACTGCAGGGCCGCGCCTTCACCTGTTCACGTAGATCTGGGATTGTAAAACGTTGACTCAAGTTGTCTCGGTAGGAACCCAACTGTTGGGTCCTCCGGCCCAGCAAGAGGTCACACCTTGGCCACCGAATATATTACCGGTAAAAGGACTTTGCGCTTGACTGCAACGTTTCAGCAACACGTTGGCTCGGAGAAGCAACAGAGATGAACTTCGTAACGTGGGATCTCGTGCGACAACGATTTCAAAGCAACGAAGTCACATGCAGGAAACGTATCAGGTGCTCACATCAGTGGGCGCTGCGGGATTGGCATGGGCCCTGGCGCAGGGAATTATTAAATGTGGCCCCCTGTCAAATTTCGCCCCCCACTTCGTAGCCAGGTGCCTGGGCACTTCTGGCTTGTGGGCCCAGGTGCAGTTGCACTGCCTGCACACTCGAGAGCTACGCCACTGCCCCTGACCCCCTTCTGTTAAGTGCCCCGCCGGATCGCATCTCATCACCCCTGCTTCCAGCACGATGAGCCAGTTTCTTGAGCTATCATATGTGGCAGGGTGGGGATGCTTTAGTTTTATTTGTATGTTTTTTGGGTGATTAGTTTGCCTTTTCTGTACAGTACAAAGACACGACAATAATGTCGTGTCTTTGTACTGTTTGTGGTTGTAACGTGTGAAAAAGAGCTTGATAGCTCGTGGGATTCCTGCAGCATGAAAAAATATTCTGACCAATGTTATAATGTTGAGGCACGTGACGACGAGCGTTGGGACACGTGACGACGAGCGTTGGGACACGTGACGACGAGCGTTGGGACACGTGACGACGAGCGTTGGGACACGTGCCGAAGGGTGCAGAATTTTAGCGGCGCCAAAACAGTTTTACGGAAACCAAACGTTGGACCGCGGGGTAGGTTATATTCCATGCCAGTTGCTGGAAAGGTTCTGCGTTCAACTGCGGAGTATTTGATTCAGTAGCTTCTTCTTCTCCTTCCGCCCCAGTAGCATTCATGTTTGCCCTTTGCACTCACTTCACTCACCCACCCACTCACTCACCCACCCATCCACTCACTTCACTCACTCACCCACTCACTCACTCACCCACCCACCCATCCACTCACTTTACTCACTCACTCCTCCACCCACTCACTTCACTCACCCACCCACCTAACCCATTAATTCACCCACCCACCCATTCACTTCACTCACCCACCCACCCACTCACTTCACTCACCCATCCACCTACCCATTCATTCACCCACCCACCCATTCACTTCACTCACCCACCCACCAACTCACTTCACTCACCCACCCACCCACTTCACTCACCCACCCACCCACTCACTTCACTCACCCACCCATTCATGCATCCACTCACTCACCGGGTCCCCCTTTGGGCCTGGGCTCCCAGGCTGCCCGTCGAGGCCAGGGAGGCCGCTGGCCCCCGGACTCCCGGGCATACCCGACGAGCCGGGCTCGCCCTTGTCCCCGGCGAGCCCCTCGAAGGAGGACGCATCCCCGGGCTCCCCTTTCTCACCAGAGTCCCCGGGGTGGCCCGGCACCCCCGGGCTGCCCTGATGGGCGAAGAGCAGAAGGGACGGGGAGATGCTTTGGGCAGTGACAAATCTGCCTTACGACTGACTCTTTCCCTTTCATCATCATCTTCATCATCAGCTTTGGGCAATTACATGGCACGGCGGTGGCACGCTTGTGCCCTTGTCGTAGAAGTTCGTGGTTCGAATCCGGCAGGCCACCCTGGTTATAACTGCGGCGCGTATTAACTGTAAAACACGTGCCGCATTCTTCGCAGTGGGTGTTCAAGATCCGTAATGTAATTTCGAAGAAATGTAGTCCATGGCCCAAATTTGAAAAATAATTAGCAAATTACTGAATTGGCCAACACATAGCAATTACCAGCCCCTACTTTGAAAACTTGACAGGATCCTCCTGAAAAAGTATTTCGAATGACAATGTCCACCGCTGGATGTTCATTCCCTCCTTCGGCTGCCATAACAACTCAATGATCCTTTGCTTTCAACTATATTCAACGTCTTTTTCGGTTTTTTTCTGTCCAGTCCTCTGGTCACAAACATCCATAACCGAATGCCAAAGTTGACCTCTGCGCCACTCTACCAAAGTGGTAACGATGATAAGGTAACGACGGGGAGATGTGGCTGGGCCTTACCTGAGGTCCCTGTAAGCCGGGAGAGCCAGGGAAGCCGCTGTCGCCCTTCGGCCCACTGCCGCCTGGACTCCCTGCACGGCAGAGACGTGAGCAAGAGAAGAGGCACCCGTGTTTGTGATGAACGGCAATTCAACTGGCTGCCGGATCCGTATGCCAGAAGGTTGCGCCCTCACCGCCAGCCGCCCCGCTATGCGATACCTCGCGTTGTAATATCGGCCCATCGACGCAGGTCATAAGGATCGGCCGGCACCACCACTTTGCCGACCTCGACTACGCCGATGATGCAGGCCTTGTTTTGTTGAGAAGCCTGACACATTCACAATAGCCCTCCGCAACAATGCAAGAAGAATGGGATTAAACGTATTGTGGCAGATCACAAAAGTTTCGAGAACTTTGGGCTCCGAAGCTCCAGAAGCACCCTGCATAATGAAGGAACGACACAGGTACGAGAAGCCGGGAAAGAGAGCGAATTAAATTTGAACGATTGTCGCCAACTGGGAGAATACAACACGTGCCGCCTGCTGCATGCTAGACGTCAACGGTGACCTCTCCACTCCACCAAAGTGGTTCACCGTAAGTCCTTCAAAAACCTGCTCCACTAACGTACCAGGTCTCTCAACCCCCTGCTCACAAACACCCACATTGTGCACATTGTCACTGTTAAAGGAGTCGGGTCTTCATCTTGCTGTAAAAATTGTGGGCTTTTTTTGTCAAAATTACAAACAAAATGGGTCGATCCGCCTTTTTCGAAATTAAAAGACGAAGCTTTGAAACTCGCTCCCCACCCCTTGTTGTGATTGCAATTTGCAGATTTCTCCAAAAACAAAACCAATGTACGACTTGCCACTGACAGATCTGCACCGCTGACATCGATTCGGCCGACTCAGCCGGGTTTGGAACCTTTGACGGGCGCTTCCAATAAAGAAAGTCTATTGATGTTGACGACAAAAAGTGGATGCAACCGGGAGCGTCTGATGGACAGTTCCAGAGCAATATCATGGGCGGAGATAAACGGCAGGAAGGCCAGGACCGATCGCTGACAACTTTGAGAAGAGACATCGCACAGGGAGGGATGCAAGACCGCGCGCCTTGTACACACGTGATGCGGTTAACGAGTCGATAGTCATCTCACAGCCGCACCACAGCATCGATCATCCTTCTGCTGTGTCTACACTCGGGGGGGGGGGGGGGGAGGGGGGATCTCAATTAGTCCCCCCGCCTTTCACCTACCACAGACATCGCCGGCATGCCTGACTTGACCGCTAGGTGCAATGTGAATCGTTGTGATTCCCGGACATAGATTCGTCAACGTGGTGCTGCGTCGGGGCTGCGTCGTGGTGCCATCATCTCACCTGGCTGACCGGGGGGCCCCGGTGGTCCTTGAGGTCCCGGCACGCCCGGCAAAGTCCTCACCGGCACTTGACCGCACGACTGGCACGTGGCCCCCTTGTCCCCTGCGCAGGCAGCATCCACCGCGTCGACAGTCAGTTCACTCATTTGACGAACGAACGAATGATTGAACTGTGAGTTCAGTCATTCAATGATTGAACTGTGAGTTCACTCATTCAATGATTGGTTGGCGAGCCACTTGAAGGTGGCACTATAATGTTTTAATTGACACCTGGGAAACTGCACCATGACACTTGGGTACTACAGTGAAACGCCTGTTACCCACCCTCCTATTGTCCACTCTTCCTATCATCCATACACCCGTATCGCTCCACGAATAATCGTACAGTATGATGCCGTGTGTAAACATCGCCACTGGGGAGAAAGAAAGAGGGCGGTCAGGCGTGGTGCTGGCCACCCACCCTGAGCCAGCCTTCGTAGGAGCTCGCCATCAGCACTTGCCCCAATGGTCTGTAAAGGCTAGACGGGGATAACTTTGTTTTTGACTTCATGAGTTTACGTTAGAATTCAAGGTGAGACCTGGTGTGACGTCACCCATGCAGTGAGGCCGCGCGTACCTTTAATGCCGGCGATGCCAGGAGTACCGGGATGCCCCGCTTGTCCCGGAGGCCCAGGGATCCCCTTGCCAGTGCTGCCAAAGTCCGGAGGCACCGTAGCTGTGGATTATGGGATGAGGGAAAGGTCACGTGCGTGTGTGTGCGTATCAGAGGGGGCGAGTGGTGGGCGCAGTGGTTAGCGCATTGCACTACGATCTGTCGGATTTAATACAAATGTCGGGAACGCATCCCGAGTACAAACACGCGTGTTGTACACATGCACACGCGTGTTGTTAACATGCACACGCGCGTTGTACGCATGCGCACGCGTGTTGTACACATGCACACGCGTGTTGTACGCATCCACACGCGTGTTGTACACATGCACACGCGTGTTGTACGCATGCACACGCGTGTTGTTCACATGCACACGCGCGTTGTACACGTTCACACGCTCTCTCTCTCTCTCTTCTGCCGTCACTGGCAGCAGTGCTGCCCCACGTACCAGGAGGCCCAGGTGGTCCGGGGATACCCGGATTCCCGGGGAGACCTGGCTGACCATCCACTCCCCTGGCTCCAGGGATGATGGGGCCTGGGTCTCCTGGAAGACCTTTGTCCCCTCTAGTCCCGGGCTGGCCTGGGATGCCTGGAGAACCCTTGGACGATGGGCCTGTAGGAGCGCCACGGCCATCGATTCAAACGCCATCCACGAACACAATATCCCACCGATCATCTCGTCATCCCATCAGTTATCTCGTCATCACATCAGTCATCTCATCATCCCATCAGTCATCTCGTCATCCCATCAGTTATCTCGTCATCCCATCAGTCATCTCGTCATTACATCAGTCATCTCGTCATCCCATCAGTCATCTCGTCATCCCATCAGTTATCTCGTCGTCCCATCAGTCATCTCGTCATCCCATCAGTTATCTCTTCATCCCATCAGTCATCTCGTCATCCCATCAGTCATCTCGTCAGCCCATCAGTCATCTTGTCATCTGCTCCTGCCTACATGACCTGAATCTGCTCAATCTTGTCAGATCTTAAGTTCAATCAGTGTTGAGCCTGGAGAGGTCTCTCAATGGGCTGTGAGGTGGCCAGGAAACAGATGGCAGTACAGAAACTAGATTCCCTGTGTATATCTTCTCCAAGCACAACGGCTTTCTCCCACACTCAAAGCACTCCTTTAATTATGAGATCAAGGCCACGCGACTTCCTTACCCGGAGGCCCAGGCGTGCCCTGGAGACCGATGGGACCTGCAGGTTAGAGCAGAGTGTGACGTGCCAAACCAACAGCGGACACGTTCATACAGCCTCTACACAGCAATACGTACACACAGCCTCTACACAGCAATACGTACACACAGCCTCCACACAGCAATACTTACACACAGCCTCTACACAGCAATACTTACACACAGCCTCTACACAGCAATACTTACACACAGCCTCCACACAGCAATACTTACACACAGCCTCTACACAGCAATACTTACACACAGCCTCTACACAGCAATACGTACACACAGCCTCTACACAGCAATACTTACACACAGCCTCTACACAGCAATACTTACAAATAGCCTCTACACAGCAATACTTACACACAGCCTCTACACAGCAATACTTACACATAGCCTCTACACAGCAATACCTACACATAGCCTCTACACAGCAATACTTACACACAGCCTCTACACAGCAATACTTACACACAGCCTCTACACCGTTATACTTACACACAGCCTCCACACAGTTATACTTACACAGCCTCTACACAGCAATACTTACACACAGCCTCTACACGGTTATACTTATACACAGCCTCCACACAGTTATAATTACACACAGCCTCTACACAGCAATACTTACACACAGCCTCTACACAGCAATACTTACACACAGCTTCTACACAGCAATACTTACACACAGCCTCTACACAGCAATACTTACACACAGCCTCTACACAGCAATACTTACACACAGCCTCCACACAACAATACATACACACAGCCTCTACACAGCAATACTTACACACAGCCTCTACACAGCAATACTTACACACAGCCTCTACACAGCAATACTTACACACAGCCTCTACACAGCAATACTTACACACAGCCTCCACACAGCAATACTTACACACAGCCTCCACACAGCAATACATACACACAGCCTCTACACAGCAATACTTACACACAGCCTCTACACAGCAATACATACACACAGCCTCTACACAGCAATACTTACACACAGCCTCTACACAGCAATACTTACACACAGCCTCCACACAGCAATACTTACACACAGCCTCTACACAGCAATACTTACACACAGCCTCCACAAAGCAATACATACACACAGCCTCTACACAGCAATACTTACACACAGCCTCTACACAGCAATACATACACACAGCCTCCACACAGCAATACATACACACAGCCTCTACACAGCAATACTTACACACAGCCTCTACACAGCAATACGTACACACAGCCTCCACACAGCAATACATACACACAGCCTCTACACAGCAATACTTACACATAGCCTCCACACAGCAATACTTACACACAGCCTCTACACAGCAATACTTACACACAGCCTCTACACAGCAATACTTACACACAGCCTCTACACAGCAATACTTACACAGAGCCTCTACACAGCAATACTTACACACAGCCTCCACACAGCAATACTTACACACAGCCTCTACACAGCAATACATACACACAGCCTCTACACAGCAATACTTACACACAGCCTCCACACAGCAATACGTACACACAGCCTCCACACAGCAATACTTACACACAGCCTCTACACAGCAATACTTACACACAGCCTCTACACAGCAATACTTACACACAGCCTCCACATAGCAATACTTACACACAGCCTCTACACAGCAATACTTACACACAGCCTCTACACAGCAATACTTACACACAGCCTCCACACAGTTATACTTACACACAGCCTCCACACAGTTATAATTACACACAGCCTCTACACAGCAAAACTTACACACAGCCTCAAGATCCAGGTCCGATTCAACACGTTATATAAAATCCGTGATCTGGTTCCGTCTGTAAAATATGTGATTCCGGACATACAGTACCCTGGCGTCTACAAACTGAGTTGCCTTTGTGGTATTAGTTACATTGGAGAAACCAAACTACATGTATCGGACCGTATCCGTGAACACAAAGCAGACCTAAAACATTGTAGGACCAACACCTCGGCCGTGTTAGATCACTGTTATAATTCAGTGGGCTCGCATGACATTGACTTCTCCAAGACAGAGGTTCTCTGCAAGCCATCTGGCTACCATGAGAGATTCGTTCATGAGGCTATCCACATATACAAAAACAGAGACAATTTCAACAGAGAAGATGTATTCTGGCTTAGCAATCATTGGAAGGATTTGATCAACCATTCCGGGTCTTAATTGATTGATCACGCTTAAGGTGGCTTTCAGACCACATTCCATTCTTTTCGTCTCCCCCCTCCTCTTTTCCGAACATAGATGGATTCGTCCAACTGAACAACTGCCAAAAATCGCTCTCCGTGGTGCTAACATTAAGAAAAAACCGCGACTTTTTTCAAATTTTCTTGATTTGGTTTTCACATCTGATGATGATTGCGTGTGTTGCAGTCGAAACGTCGTGAGAATTTTATTGTTTAATATTTTTAAATATTTTATTGTTTCCCTTGTACGTGACTTTACCGAAAGAACCAAGAATATGAGCCTCTACACAGTTATACTTACAACCTCTACACAGCAAAACTTCCACACAGCTTCCACACAGAAATACTGACACACAACCTTTACACAGCAATACTTACACACAGCCTCTACACAGCAATACTTACACACAGCCTCTACACAGCAATACTTACACACAGCATTAAGCTAACAATTGTCCAAGCTCTGCGGCCCTTTATATATTCAGGTATTATCGGTCAATTTAAGGGGGAGGGGGGGGCGATGTTGCCATGCGGCTTCACCCGATTCGTTAATTTGCAAGAAAAAATGGCAAATTTGTATCGCGACGCCGGATACAAGGGGGTTGCGCCTTTAGTAACGAGATCCACTGTAAGGCGGACGGAGCGTCGTTGTTTTTGGCGAAGACTCACTCCGCGGTGTTAACCGGGGCGGCCACCGAGCTCGTAAACCCGCGCTGGACCTCTGCGGAGAAACACGGCAAACCGCTCGGCCGTTTGACCGCTCACCTGGAAACCCGCGCTCCCCTTTGTCCCCGGGGGGTCCCGGGAATCCGACGTCCCCTTTCTGGGCGGTGGTGACGTCACCGCTGCCGGCGACCGAGACCACCTGCGGACGCGCATCACAGACGGGCAGCGCTTTGTTCTCACGGCCGCGGGAACTGCGAGCGTGCCGAAGCGCGGCTCCAAGCTTCGCAGCCACCTTCGGCTCGTCCGACTATTTCATTTGTTACGTCTCCTTTTCCCAGAGCACGCAGTGCAGAAACATCGATTGTTATACTGTCATTTTAGCTCGGGGTCTATGCTCCCCCCGCTCCGCCAACCCTCACTGACCAACCAACCTGGTGAAGTGTGGTCAAATAACCTTCCCGGCAGTGGATTGACATAACGGCTGTACGTGTGCATTGTGACCGCTCCAAATTATATTGCGATCGTGTTGTTGGCGTCAAGAGGGTCAGATGGCATTCCAAATTGAAACATTTGTGCCAAAGAATGGCCGCGGACGCCGATATCACAGAGATGCTTTTGAAGCCTCTCCCTGGGCCTGTTCATCCCAAAGGCCTCCTTGAGCAGCGGCCTGCGACGCCATTCGCTTGCATAATTAAATATCCTGACTGGGTTTCAAGCTTCGGGGTCTCCTCTGGGTGTGAGATAAACAGTAGCAAAAGATCGCTACGTAGACACGATGGGGTTCTAGATTTGAAGCTTTCGTGACTGCAAGGATCCATACTCTTTGGTTCTATTCGGTAAAGTCACGTAGGTAAAAAATAAAACAACAAAAAATCACGACGTTTCGGCCACAACACAAGTGGCCTTCATCAGGTGAAGGGACCGGACTGTCCAGAGGACAGCGTTGGAGTGTCCTCTGGACAGTCCGGTCCCTTCACCTGATGAAGGCCACTTGTGTTGTGGCCGAAACGTCGTGATTTTTTTTCTTTTTTTTTACCTACGTGACTTTAACGAATAGAACCAAAGAGTACGATGGGGCTCGTTGGACTTCTATGCTTGTTTCATTATATATTTAAAATTTACTTCCTCGCTGTTCATTCAACTTTACATCGCTGCATAGCCGACCGTCACATATCTGCCTTGACCAAGTAACCGCTTACAACCAGACAGTGCCGGATTATCCAAGTAGCAACAGTAGCTACAAATGCTACGGGCCCCGCACTTTCAAGGGCCCTGCGCTAAATGCTTTCAAGCTATCAATTCCGGTTCAGTGATTCTGCACTTGCTCTATTACTATAGTACTATACCACCTTCAACTTTTTTGAACGACTGGGTGTTTAAGGTTAGCGATTTGTCGTATCATCTGGCCGTGTAGCAAATGAAAAAAGACATTTACTTTACTGTGCAAGTAAAACATATGTGTGTTTTTATATTTACGTGTTTTTTTTATTTAGGGCCCCTTTATAACATCATACTACAGGCCTTGCACTAGCTTAATCCGCCACTGCAACCAGTGGAGTATTTCGTGCACGGTGGGCGTAACATGGCGGTGTAACCGTGATCGTCCGTGGATGTTCACGGAGCCGTCGTTGCTTACGCGGCGTTGGACTTAGATCTGGAGCAGACTTCCTGTCTGCCCATTGTACAGCGTAAGAGAAATCGACCGCCCTGTGTGTGTGTTTATACGGGTCCGCTGAGGAGAGTCACTCACTTTTCCCGGAGGCCCTGCGATGCCAGCGTCTCCCTTCCGACCCTAGAGTAACACACACGCACAGTTTAGGCAATGCACGTCCGTGCTTAGCAAACGAGATTTTAACAAAATGACGTATATGATGTCCTTCGCCGGGAGAAAGGCCACAGGTGTGAGGGGGGCAACGCTCTGTACCACACTCGATGTGGAGGCCACATTTGCTGTACCGCATGCTCCTCGTGAGTCAGGGTGAGGCTCCTCCTCGACGCCCACGGCAAGGGAGTTTCACATCTGCGTGCGATCCCCCAACCCTCGATGCCTCCACAGTGCGGGACTGCAGGCCACGTGCATAGCCACCGCCGCCCGGCTAAATGCGCGAGTGCGATGTGGGGTCAATACCTTTTCGCCATCCAGGCCGTCAATGCCGGGAATCCCTGGGATACCAGGCTCTCCCTGCGTGCCACACGAAGACAAAGATTCCCCTTGAAGCGTTCAACAAACTGTTGGGGCAAGTGCTGTAAGAGAGCACCTATGAAGGCCGGCACAGCACACAAGGAGGCGGTTGGCCAGCACCGGCCACATTTGTCTCCTGCGCACTGCACCAGGTACTCTCGTTCGAGGCCGAGTCGACCTAAGGAAGGCCCACGACCGGTTCAGATATTCATTACTGATATTGCTCGTGAGTGGGAATTGAACTTGGCTCTCCAGATTAGTAGCGCCGTGCTCGAACTGGAACGCATGCAAACACGTGCACACATATATAAACAAGAGACAAAGGTGCAGCGCTGCATCTGCTCGCCTACGCCATTGCTGGTGGAGGTGCACTCACATCGATTCCTGGCAGTCCTGAATCCCCATCCTTTCCTGGCTTCCCCTGATAAACGGGGAATGGGAAGAGAGGAAAAACACGGTCAAGCGTTAGGGAACCAACTTCAGTGGGCAGAATTTGCATGGTAATATTTAGCAGCCCTGTGTTCGCCTGTCGCACGGAAGTCGCTCAGCGCAGCTAGCGAGCGGTGAGGCAGTGGCCACCAGCTTCACGGACGGAATGCGAGGGATGCGACTCCAGACCGTGGGATCATAGCGCGCATCAACCTGCCCACCGAAGGCCTGTTGCTGGAACCACTTCATTTCTCCACTTGGCATCGCGGGAAGCCGCCAGAGTGGATTGCCAAACGAGACGATGTCCAATTGTCAGCCTCTCCCGTCGAACAACAGCAGAATGCCCAGCGTAACGGAGGGCGGCACGATCGAAATCACGTCGTTGACATGAACGAAATAATCTTCACAAAACGGGGCTCTCACCCTCTTGCCAGCTTCTCCAAAGTCACCTTTCTCTCCCTTCTGACCAAAGCCCGGTCGTCCCTGTGCAAAGCAGATGGCATTCGTCATACAGAGGTACTCAGCAGCAGCGTACCCACGTTATACCGACAGTACACATGCCCAGGAACACACGCGTAGTATGTTATGTATACCGGAAATCCTCTACTTACTAACTTTCAATTTACGCACTTTCAGAGATACGAACAAACCTGTCCGTATGTCGAGTTGCCTGTTCGGACCGAGAGTCGTAAGTTCGACCGCCGCACAATAGATTGCGGTGCTGGCATCTACATCTACAGAACGTGAAGAACCAGTGGCATCTACATCTGCAGAACGTGAAGAATCAGTGGCATCTACATCTGCAGAATGTGAAGAACCAGTGGCATCTACATCTGTGTAACGTGAAGAACCAGTGGCATCTACATCTGCAGAACGTGAAGAACCAGTGGCATCTACATCTGCAGAACGTGAAGAACCAGTGGTATTTACATCTGCAGAACGTCAAGAACCAGTGGCATCTACATCTACAGAACGTCAAGAACCAGTGGCATCTACATCTGTAGAACGTGAAGAACCAGTGGCATCTACACCTGCAGAACGTGAAGAACCAGTGGCATCTACATCTGCAGAACGTGAAGAACCAGTGGCATCTACATCTGCAGAACGTGAAGAACCAGTGGCATCTACATCTGCAGAACGTGCAGAACCAGTGGCATCTACTTCTGCAGAACGTGAAGAACCAGTGGCATCTACTTCTGCAGAACGTGACGAACCAGTGGCATCTACTTCTGCAGAACGTGAAGAACCAGTGGCATCTACTTCTGCAGAACGTGAAGAACCAGTGGCATCTATTTCTGCAGAACGTCAAGAACCAGTGGCATCTACATCTGCAGAACGTGAAGAACCAGTGGCATCTACATCTGCAGAACGTGAAGAACCAGTGGCATCTACATCTACAGAACATCAAGAACCAGTGGCATCTACATCTGTGTAACGTGAAGAAGCAGTGGCATCTACATCTACAGAACGTCAAGAACCAGTGGCATCTGCATCTGTGTAACGTGAAGAAGCAGTGGCATCTACATCTACAGAACGTCAAGAACCAGTGGCATCTGCATCTGTGTAACGTGAAGAAGCAGTGGCATCTACATCTACAGAACGTCAAGAACCAGTGGCATCTACATCTGTGTAACGTGAAGAAGCAGTGGCATCTACATCTACAGAACGTCAAGAACCAGTGGCATCTACATCTGTGTAACGTGAAGAACCAGTGGCATCTACTTCTGCAGAACGTGAAGAACCAGTGGCATCTATTTCTGCAGAACGTCAAGAACCAATGGCATCTACATCTGCAGAACGTGAAGAACCAGTGGCATCTACATCTGCAGAACGTGAAGAACCAGTGGCATCTACATCTACAGAACGTCAAGAACCAGTGGCATCTACATCTGTGTAGCGTGAAGAAGCAGTGGCATCTACATCTACAGAACGTCAAGAACCAGTGGCATCTGCATCTGTGTAACGTGAAGAAGCAGTGGCATCTACATCTACAGAACGTCAAGAACCAGTGGCATCTGCATCTGTGTAACGTGAAGAAGCAGTGGCATCTACATCTACAGAACGTCAAGAACCAGTGGCATCTACATCTGTGTAACGTGAAGAAGCAGTGGCATCTACATCTACAGAACGTCAAGAACCAGTGGCATCTACATCTGTGTAATGTGAAGAACCAGTGGCATCTACATCTACAGAACATCAAGAACCAGTGGCATCTACATCTGTGTAACGTGAAGAAGCAGTGGCATCTACATCTACAGAACGTCAAGAACCAGTGGCATCTACATCTGCAGAACGTGAAGAACCCTAGACATCTACAGGAGATGATATAACTTTTAAAGCCATTCACTCTGAGTATACACGCCGTAAAACGTGCTTGGAATCGACGGGAGTAAAGTTGGACCTCCTAAAAAAATCGACTTACGAACAGGCCTCTGGAACCTAACTCGTTGGTAAGTAGAGGAATCCCTGTATTGAACTTCTTTCGCATCGTACGTAGGCAACTGTGCCCATCCGAGGTGCCAACCGTGTGTCTACAGGGCGCACATGTCCCGAACATGTACACGCAACAAAATACCCCGTGTATCCTTTACAGACTTTTGGGGTGAAATTCTGTTAGCAAGCACCTATGTGGGCCGCCACGGCATACGAGGGGGTGGGTGGCCAGGACCATACCCGGCCGCCTTTGTCTCCCCAGTGGCGATGTTTTGCACACCGCACCAGGTACTCATTTGAGGCTAAGTCGACCTAGGCGAGGCCCAGGACACGCACGTGGAGCACATGCGGTACACACAGTACGCACGAGGCGCACACCTAGAACCCGCGCAGTACGCGGGGCACAACACACCACACACATACGAAGTGCTCACACTTAAAGCACCTAGAGCACGCACACACACACAGCATATGTAAGTATATGTTAAGTTGCTGTTTTTGTACAGTGTGTGCAGCATTGTGAACGGCGCAGAATGAATGACGATGGTGGTGATCGTAACAATGACTTATTTACTCAGGTAAGCCACACTAAGTCTGAAGACTAGTTTTCAGCATGGTCCTGAGTTTGGATTGTTGCTCAAATACCAGTTCCAGTTCATGTTTGGCTATGGGAGGAAACCACAGAACACGGAGAAATCCCACGCGGAACAACGAGGAGGGACATACAAACTCCACACAAAGAGGCACCTGAGTCTGGAATCGAACCCAGGGTGCGTGGTGGGGTGGGGTGGTGCCGGGCGCGGTGTTGGCCACCCACCCCCTCGTGTGCCGTGCACTTGCCCCGACAGTCTGTTCAGGCTATACGGGGGATCTTTGTGTCAGTGAGGAGCCGCACGTGAACATCTGCAGCCGAGTCGCAACAACGCGGTCTCTCACCGGGGGCCCGGGTTGACCGTCGAAGCCTGGTTTGCCTGGCTCGCCCACTTCACCCTGTGTGGCAAACACGCGCGTTCACACGCACGCGAGCATGCACATGCGCACATACACGTGCACACACGCACACACACACGCATCATTAACGTCGTCTCTCCCGAGGGTTGGCAGCTCGGCGTGCAGCAAGCATCTTTCCCTTCCTCGCCCCCTTCCGCCAGTCTCGCGGCAGTCGTTGATCCACATCCCGGCCGAAGTGCCTCTGGCCATTGACCCATCGCATCCTCGGTCTTCCGCTTCTCTTGACCCTCTGCCCAGGTGTCGCGGTACCGCACGGTGACCGTACGTTGCAATACGGCGCTCGGTCTATGGGCTGCTCCGCTTATTCACTGCGATCGAGAGCCCTGCGCAGGTCTCCTATTTTCTGACCCGCGACCCCGACACGACCCATGACTGCCTGACCCCACCTCACCCCACATGACCCCACCGGACCCCGCAACCCGCTTCTGCACTACCGCGCGTGGCCGTGCCCTGACCCACTTTCATTCGATCAGATATTTTTTCACAATTTTTGGTTGTTGTGTGTCTGGATGCTTTGTGGTTCTCGCAGCATCGAAGCACGAACTTGTATTACACATCAAAAGAGTGCTCTGCTCCGAAATACGAATTCTGTTCCCAAACGTTTGACCCCATGTGGCATGAACTACTTACTCTGCTCAGGATACTTTGTAGCATTGAGCGTAAACCATTGTTTTAAACTAAAATTTTAGTGAAAATACACCTGCATTAAGTTGTTCCAGTAAAATTCCGACTATACCTTTCGCACTATTATCCTCCACAGGGTAACACTTGTACGATACATGTTGAATTTCGTTCGCACTGTACGTAGCCAACCATGCTAATCGGAGGTGTGGGGGAAGGACAACAAACTAAAAAAAGCAGTTCTAAAGAAATGCGTTTTCAATCTAGATGATTTAAAAGAGCATATAGGTCCTGTGGCTTCCTAATATCAGAAGGAAGAGCGTTCCAGACGACCGCAGAAGTGCACCTAAAAGCGCACGATGCGGCGAGCGCATTTGTTCGATGGCCAGCCGAAAAAACCGCTGCCGCGAGGATTGCCGGAGTTTGCGTGGCGATGGTTTATGCTCATCGGAAGTATAAAACTTCAGTGCAATTCAGTGTACAGGCCTAAGCATCCTCTCTGACTTCTCTGCCACTCCGACCGCGTGCTCCCCTCGGCTTGGAGCACGCGCGAGATGGAGAGTGTGCACATTCCGAGACTCTGCTGGCCCCGCCGTCCAGAACCGGCGCGGAACGTAGCGCCGCCCAATGTCTAGAAAGCTCTCGTTGGCAGGTCGGCCCCCGCGCCCGCCTCTCTCTGTCACTTCCACGGGAACCTCTCCACCTGCTGGTCTCGCCAACGATGAGCGTGGCCCCACCTCAGCCCAAACCACTTTACGGGTGACCCGCAGTGACCCGTGGGAACCCGATTCCGATGCAGGACTCTGCTACGGTCAGCACTTAGGATTTTTTTTTTAATGAAACAAATTATTATTTTGGCGGTGCTGCTGCGTCGGCAGTGGCGCCCAAGCACATTTGGAACAAAAAAACTCAACACATTCGTCAATAACGCTGTGACCTTCAAAGAAAAAATATATACGTAATAGGCGACGTTTCGGGCAATCGCCCTTCTTCATAGCACGTAAATCCACGTTTTTGTGAAGGTGATTAAGATTCCCACCCAAGGCGACGCTTACCTTCTGCCCCTTCTGGAAGCCGTCGGTGATGTCGACGATGCCCTGCTGCTCGCGGATGTGGCCGGGAGGTCCCGGCGGACCCTGCAGCCCTGACTCCCCCTGCGTGCACACAACAAAGATCCCCGTACAGCCTTTACAGAATGTTGGGGCGAGTGCTGTTAGCGAGCACCTATGAAAGCGGGCACGGCACCCGAAGAGGGTGGGTGTGCCCATAAAAACACCTGTCTCCTCAGCGCTGACGATCGCAGGGACTCCCGGTAGGCTCCCGTCTTACCCTATCTCTCACTGCACTCGCTGAGCCGCTCACCTCCACCTGCTTCTCAACCCTCACCATGCACAACCCCAACGCTTGGCGCGATTACGGGCGAGTGGCAGGTGTCCGTACGGAAAAGCGTCAGACTCACCTTATCTCCTTTGGGGCCTTGGAAGTTGAGCCCCATGTGTCCCTGTAGGCAACAGAGACACGCAGAGTTAATGCTGGGTCGGTGGGTCGGTGGATGCGGAGGGGTGAGTGGGACGGTGGGTGGGTGGACGGGTTGGGTGCCGTGACACCGTCACGGCAGCTGTGGGTAATGACCTCTACTGAGATGGCTAACGGAGGACCTCGCTGTGCAGGATGCGAACTCACCTTGGGTCCTGGAGGCCCAGGCTGGCCTGACGGTCCCTGGTAAAAGTAAAACAAATATCAAAACAGAAAATCAACGGAGGGTTAGCTCCAAAGCTCTGACCCTGATCGTGGTGGTGTGGATAATATTTTATTTTCTCCCTTTTGCATTGAGATAAATTATTTCACTGGCCTGGTTCTGTTTATTAGTCGATGCCACAACTATAAACAAATTAAATCGTCAATTTGGCGAATTCTAGCACAAGGATATGACCAAGGCACTATGTTCCCCAGGCAAGTGCATTCTGTGGTAGTTTCAGAGTCGAGGGTGGTAATTGGTGAGTAGTCTTCAAATGCGGAAAACGTGAACGGTGAAGCCGGCAAAACATAACGGCCTATTATTTTTCACGTAACGTCACGAGATCTTTAACATCGACGGCCCGTATCTTCGGTTAACACTCCCGCAGTATTCTGCAGGGTAGCCGCTGGGCTCAAACCACAAACCTCTGCAACAAAGCAGCAAACCCGCTAACCTCGGCATCGTCTCTGAGGTTTGAATGAAAAAGTTCATTACACGAAACAGCCAACATCATGCGATGAAACTTGCGATTTTTGTCAGAAGATATTAGCGTAACCAAGATATTAGATATTTGTTGTCCTTCGTCCACACCTCCGACTAGCACAGTTGGCTACGTACGGTGCGAAAGAAGTTCGACATCCGTACTTATGGCAAATACAGTATCCTCTGGGATTCTTAAATAAAAAAAAACAATGCATTGCCACGTTTACATTTTTTGCTTTTAAACATTAGACACCGCATAAGCATAGATTACATCCACTAAATATAAGCAGACAAGATGCACCGCTTTCATATATGTCGCTCCACATAAAAAAATATATTAGATTAAGTATTGTGTCATTTGGTTGTGGACTAACGGATGTGGAAAGTAGGACCATCTGGCAATTGTTAATTTTATTGTTTTTGCTATTTACTTATCTTCACATATTCTTCACAAGCAATCCATATGTGTTGCTGGGTTCGGCCACGTGGCGGCATTATTATAACCAACATTTCTTGTCATTGGCCCTCCACCACCCGCCAACAAGATTGCCACGCTTGCTCCGATATTATTAATTTGACACGTTTGCTCATCTGTTGATCCAATTCCGACCGATAAATCTCTTCGCTGTTGGCCCCGAGAGTTTTCACGACCGCATCTACCACACCTCCGATTAGCACGATTGGCTGCGTATGGTGCGAAAGAAGTTCAACGTAAATACAGTAACATGCATTCAACGCGCAGAACCACCTTGCGCTCAAACTGTTCTGAGCATCGTCAGGCAGCAAGCTCAGGAATGGAGCGGAGAAAAAAAAACCCGCGTTTCAAATTCTCCGTAACTTATCGTTATTTTATGTTGTTATTATGCATTCCACAACCGTTCCTCCGATGTAATTCATGGTCACAAATTAAACTAAAGAATCGATTTTTTTTTTCAAGAGGGTACGAGCAGGTCCACGTGTCTAGACCCAGCGTTTACATGACCTGATTGCACACAGCACATATACTGCATTGATATTCATCGATTCATGTAGGCGCGACGTGATTGCTGGTATTGTGAGCATCAGAGTGAACGTGAATCCACGTACTGGAAATCCGGGAGGGCCTGGGGGCCCGATGGGGCCCGGCAGCCCTACACCTCCAGGATTGCCCTGGGAAGAAAGAGTGACCCAGAGGAGAAGAGGGGGACGTTGTGGAGACACGGAGACAGAGAGGAGAGAGATTAGAGAGTTCGGCCACCACAGAGAGAGGCAAAGAGAGAGAAATACATCATAGTATTATTATTGTTTTATATTTTTCTTATTTAATTGCTTCCCTTCTACGTGACTTTACCGAAAGAACCACGAATATGAATCCCTGCAGTCACGAAAGCTTTAAATCAAAATTATTAGGAGTGTTTACCCAGGATAGCGTCATTTAATCTCAGTGCTCTTTGTGATGAGGGTTGTGTCAGGTGTGTTATGCAGCTGGGGGTGATGCTGCTGTGTATGCGATACCAAGCCAGTAGTTTCCAGGTCGTTTTTCAACATTGGCATGTTTTGGGTGAAAACAGTTACGTTGGGAGGTTTGGTAATTTGTTTTTACCTATGGCAAGACACCAGAGAACCTGGTGGAAACCGACACAGAACAGGGTGGAGGAACATACAAACTCCACACAGAGAGAGGTGCCTGATTCTGGAATCGAACCCAGGTCCTCCTTGCTGTGAGGCACGAGGGTTACCGCTACAACCACCCTGCCGTAGACGAGGTTGGTTTAATTTGAGCTCATTGCAAGATGCCTTCACGAGTATACCAAATGAGGTACATTAGGTTAGTGTCGCCACCTCCGAGGTACAAGAGCTGGAAAGCTCAATGGGCTTTGCTCGGGTAATAAACGCCTGACTTCTGATTGCCCAATAACACCTTTATATAGAGAGGATCGCAGAGCTTTAAAGAGGTGGGGAGCGGGGGATTTGGCACCAGATCAGCTCATGGCTGCCTTTCCTTGTGGTCCCGCCTGTCATCTCGTTCTCTCTCTTCCAGGGCGAGTGAACGCCGTGCGGTGGCAGTGCGTTACGAGTTGCAATGATTTAACTGCACACGAAAACATAAACTCCGCCATCCGCCACGGGGTGTCTCTGCTGAACAATTGTGGGCGGGTTTCCTCGAGAGCTGGGATTTCCACCCCCTCTGAAATGAAATATATTTCACAGACAGAATCCAAGGCTGCTACAGGATTTCTGACGGTGCGATAGGGCCGAACTCCAAATCGTTTGAAGAATCGATTTTAAGCTCAGAACTGAGCCAGCTTGCATGGGGTGAAATTGCTGCGTTGCTGCGATGCATGGCAAAGTGTGTGTGTGTGTGCGTGAATGTTGGGTCTCACGGCATTTCCGGGGAGGCCTGGAAGGCCTGAGTCGCCCTTTTGTCCCGGGAACGCAGGCAGAAAATCACCGGGGTCGCCCTGTGAAGGCGGCACAACGCGCGTCACAACGACAACAAGAGTCTCATTGGCCAAATGAGCGCCTGTGACGTCGTCACAACGACAACAAGAGTCTCATTGGCCAAATGAGCGCCTGAGATGTCGTCACAACGACAACAAGAATCTCATTCGTCAACTGAGCGCCTGTGACGTCGCCGCGACGCCTCCGCCAGGCGAGGTGCACTTTGAGGCCACGTGAAGTGTCGACGGGCCGCTGACGGGCGGGTCACGAGACAGACCCAGGTCACGTGGGTTGAATGACTGAGATGGCTGGCAGGTGCCTAAGATCGAATTCAACTAATAAAACATCAATGGTGTGGAGGCCAATCAGTTTCAAAGGCAATGCACACATTATTAGAGCACATTTGTTCATGTTGACCACAAGTACATGTGGTTAAAACAGACTTGCTTCATTGCAAAAGGTTTCTATTTGGTGTTTAAACATCTTAACATCTGTTTTAATGCCAGAAAGGGTAAAATATATTCTTATTTTTTTATACTTTGATACTGGCAAAAAGGTCCCATGATTAAACATTATACATGTGGTATTTTTATATTTTAACAAACCAGGCTTGAGAGGTTTACTCTGGAATGTACTTCACGTGGCGGCAAGCAACTGCGATTCTGAGATGTGAGTAACCTACCTCTGGGTACAGTTAATGGGCAGCGAAGCAAAAATACAAAACAACTTCATTACACAGTGACAGAGCAGGATGAGGACAAAGCATGTTGGAGTGCACACACACACAGACACAACACTCTCTCATCACAGTGTACACACACACAACACTCTCTCATCACAGTGTATACACACACAGACACAACACTCTCTCATCACAGTGTACACACACACAGACACAACACTCTCTCATCACAGTGTATACACACACACAGACACAACACTCTCTCATCACAGTGTACACACACACACAGACACAACACTCTCTCATCACAGTGTACACACACACAACACTCTCTCATCACAGTGTACACACACACAACACTCTCTCATCACAGTGTATACACACACACAGACACAACAGTCTCTCATCACAGTGTACACACACACAACACTCTCTCATCACAGTGTATACACACACAGACACAACACTCTCTCATCACAGTGTATACACACACACAGACACAACACTCTCTCATCACAGTGTACACACACACAACACTCTCTCATCACAGTGTATACACACACAACACTCATCACAGTGTACACACACACACAACACTCTCTCATCACAGTGTATACACACACACAGACACAACACTCTCTCATCACAGTGTACACACACACAGACACAACACTCTCTCATCACAGTGTATACACACACACAGACACAACACTCTCTCATCACAGTGTACACACACACACAGACACAACACTCTCTCATCACAGTGTACACACACACAACACTCTCTCATCACAGTGTATACACACATACAGACACTCATCACAGTGTACACACACACACAACACTCTCTCATCACAGTGTATACACACACACAGACACAACAGTCTCTCATCACAGTGTACACACACACAGACACAACACTCTCTCATCACAGTGTATACACACACACAGACACAACACTCTCTCATCACAGTGTATATACACACACACAGACACAACACTCTCTCATCACAGTGTACACACACAACACTCTCTCATCACAGTGTACACACACACAACACTCATCACAGTGTACACACACACACAACACTCTCTCATAACAGTGTATACACACACACAGACACAACAGTCTCTCATCACAGTGTACACACACACAGACACAACACTCTCTCATCACAGTGTACACACACACAACACTCTCTCATCACAGTGTATACACACACACAGACACTCATCACAGTGTACACACACACACAACACTCTCTCATCACAGTGTATACACACACACAGACACAACAGTCTCTCATCACAGTGTACACACACAACACTCTCTCATCACAGTGTATACACACACACAGACACAACACTCTCTCATCACAGTGTATACACACACACAGACACAACACTCTCTCATCACAGTGTACACACACACAACACTCTCTCATCACAGTGTACACACACACAACACTCATCACAGTGTACACATACACACAACACTCTCTCATCACAGTGTATACACACACACAGACACAACAGTCTCTCATCACAGTGTACACACACACAGACACAACACTCTCTCATCACAGTGTACACACACACACAGACACAACACTCTCTCATCACAGTGTACACACACACAACACTCTCTCATCACAGTGTATACACACACACAGACACAACACTCTCTCATCACAGTGTACACACACACAGACACGACACTCTCTCATCACAGTGTATACACACACACAGACACAACACTCTCTCATCACAGTGTACACACACACACAGACACAACACTCTCTCATCACAGTGTACACACACACAACACTCTCTCATCACAGTGTATACACACATACAGACACTCATCACAGTGTACACACACACAACACTCTCTCATCACAGTGTATACACACACACAGACACAACAGTCTCTCATCACAGTGTACACACACACAACACTCTCTCATCACAGTGTATACACACACACAGACACGACACTCTCTCATCACAGTGTATACACACACACAGACACAACACTCTCTCATCACAGTGTACACACACACACAGACACAACACTCTCTCATCACAGTGTACACACACACAACACTCTCTCATCACAGTGTATACACACATACAGACACTCATCACAGTGTACACACACACAACACTCTCTCATCACAGTGTATACACACACACAGACACAACAGTCTCTCATCACAGTGTACACACACACAACACTCTCTCATCACAGTGTATACACACACACAGACACAACACTCTCTCATCACAGTGTATACACACACACAGACACAACACTCTCTCATCACAGTGTACACACACAACACTCTCTCATCACAGTGTACACACACACAACACTCATCACAGTGTACACACACACACAACACTCTCTCATAACAGTGTATACACACACACAGACACAACAGTCTCTCATCACAGTGTACACACACACAGACACAACACTCTCTCATTACAGTGTACACACACACACAGACACAACACTCTCTCATCACAGTGTACACACACACAGACACAACACTCTCTCATCACAGTGTACACACACACATAGACACAACACTCTCTCATCACAGTGTACACACACACAGACACAACACTCTCTCATCACAGTGTATACACACACACAGACACAACACTCTCTCATCACAGTGTACACACACACACAGACACAACACTCTCTCATCACAGTGTACACACACACAGACACAACACTCTCTCATCACAGTGTACACACACACAGACACAACACTCTCTCATCACAGTGTATACACACACACAGACACAACACTCTCTCATCACAGTGTACACACACACACAGACACAACACTCTCTCATCACAGTGTACACACACACAGACACAACACTCTCTCATCACAGTGTATACACACACACAGACACAACACTCTCTCATCACAGTGTACACACACACAACACTCTCTCATCACAGTGTACACACACACAACACTCATCACAATGTACACACACACATAACACTCTCTCATCACAGTGTACACACACACACACAACACTCATCACAATGTACACACACACACACAACACTCATCACAATGTACACACACACAACACTCATCACAGTGTACACACACACACACAACACTCATCACAATGTACACACACACCACTCATCACAGTGTACACACACAACACTTATCACAATGTACACACACACAACACTCATCACAATGTACACACACAACACTCATCACAGTGTACACACACACAACACTCATCACAATGTACACACACACAACACTCATCACAATGTACACACACACAACACTCATCACAATGTACACACACACACAACACTCTCATCACAGTGTACACACACACAACACTCCCTCATCACAATGTACACACACACACAACTCTCTCATCACAGTGTACACACACACACAACACTCTCATCACAGTGTACACACACACAACACTCATCACAGTGTACACACACACACACAACACTCATCACAATGTACACACACACACACCACTCTCTCATCACAATGTGCACACACACACACAACACTCATCACAGTGGACACACACAACACTCATCACAATGCACACACACAACACTCTCTCATCACAGTGTACACACACACAACACTCCCTCATCACAATGTACACACAACACTCATCACAGTGTACACACACACACAACACTCATCATAATGTACACACACACAACACTCATCATAATGTACACACACAACACTCATCACAGTGTACACACACACACAACACTCATCACAATGTACACACACACAACACTCATCACAATGTACACACACACAACACTCTCTCATCACAGTGTACACACACAACACTCATCACAATGTACACACACAACACTCATCACAATGTACACACACACACAACACTCATCACAGTGTACACACACCACTCTCTCATCACAATGTACACACACACAACACTCATCACAGTGTACACACACAACACTCATCACAATGTACACACACACACAACCCTCATCACAGTGTACACACACACAACACTCATCACAATGTACACACACACAACACTCATCACAATGTACACACACAACACTCTCATCACAGTGTACACACAACACTCTCTCATCACAATGTACACACACACAACACGCATGTCAGGACGTCACGATGTCCCGTGTGGAGCACATGGCCAACGAACCTTTAATCCAGGCAATCCAGGAATTCCCTGCAGAGACAAATGGACCACACGTGTTATTTGTAGCAACTTTCCAGCCTTAGATATACATATATGTGCATATATGCAGCGTGCTTCAAATAAATATTAACACTTAGATGGGACTATCTTTTTTAATGGAAAAACAACGGATGATAATACACTGTAACATTCCAGATTTAAGGCTTTCGTGACTGCGAGGATCCATACTCTTTGGTTCTATTGGGTAAAGTCACGTAGGTTAAAATAAAATAACAAAAAATAACAAAAGATCATGATAACAAATGTGATGTTAATAGCTTCAAAAAGTCTAAGAGTCTCCACGTGTTCGCCATCGTTGTCAACACGTGGCCTGGAATCTCCTCCAGGAGGTCTCCAGAGCTCTGAGGCAGCAGCGCATGTCACGTGGTATTGTTGCGAATTCTTAGAAGTGTTAAAAATACATTTGAAGCATCCTTTATTAATAATAATAAAAATGTATAGTGCATCAGGAATGTCACACTCAGTCCGAAGGCTTTTGATCAGAAGGGTCCTGCTGCATTGGGATATTTGACCACCAACACCAACCCCGCTGTGTAAGTTTCTAGCTCAGAGGAGCTCGTGCGGAACGGGTGGTGGTGGTGGTGGTGGCGGTGGGGTAGAGAAATCGAACCCAGGCCCTTCCATCTCCGAGGCACACATGTGACCACTGTGCTACTCTGCTGCCCAGTGGATGATGATGATGGTGATGACCACGACGATGACGTCACTCACCCGAGGTCCCATTAGCCCAGGCGCTCCGTTGCTACCAGGCAGCCCAACGTCTCCCTAAAGACAGCCGGACATGACAAGTGGTCAGCACGTGCACTATAGTCATCCACACGCAAAACAAAGACAAAGACCCCGGCGTATTGCCTGAACAGACTGTTGGGGCGAATGCTGCTCGCGAATAGCACCTGTGAAGGCCTACACGGCACACGACGGGTTGGGTGGCCAGCACCGCCCCCGGCCGCCTTTGTCTCCCCAGTGGCGATGTTTACACACGGCACCGGGTACTCATTTGAGTCTGAGTCGACCTAGGGGAGGCTCAGGACCGGCCCAGATAATCGTCACCGGCGTTGGCCGTGAGCGGGAATCGAACTCGGGTCGCCAGGTTTCGTAGCGCATCGGCGCAGCGCCAACCGCTACACCACGACCGCGCCCGATCCGAACACACCGGCTGGAAGCACGTGCACGCCAACACCACGCAAAGGCTGCCAGCATGAATAGCTGTTGCGCGATGATGTTGCTGCTGAGAGTTATTGCCGTCAGAACGTTGAGTTGCTGTCACGCACAGACGTTAGCCCGCGCGCCGATCGACGCACGTGGCAATGAACGCACGGCTGCATTGCTCGCGCGCGAAGATGCGCACAAATACAAATGACTCCCCCATGTAGCCATGCAGACCGTTGGGAGGCTATTGAGGCCAGCCATCAGCAGTGAGCGTGAACCACACCCAGCCACCTTTGTCTCTCCAGTACTCATGTTCACACACCACACCTGGTACTCATTTACGGCTGAGCCGACCGAGGCAAAGCCTAGGACCGCTTCAAATATTTGCCACGGATGGTGGCCGCGAGCCAGGATCGGACTCAGGCCACCCGGTTCGTAGCGCAGCGCGCTCACCGCTGCACTACCGCTCCCACTATTCGCGCTCTGAACACACACACGGACACACGGATGGCTACACTCAGCACTCTGCACCACCCTCTCTCTCTCTGTGTGTGTGTGCAGCTCCACACACCTTGGTCCCATTGCATCCTGGGATCCCGGGAGGCCCCATGGGCCCGTCTTGTCCATTGAGGCCCTGCCGGGTGGAAAATCGGTGTTGGGTTAGGGGCACAGGAAATGCCCCGACAAAGGCAATTTCCAACATTGCGTTTTTAATTGGAGATGTTCGTGCGTCAGTTGGTACATCGTGCGGTACACCGTGAACACACATCAGAGATCATTGCTCCTGCACATTAACCTATTTCAGTCCAAACTTATGGATGTTACCTATACTGTACTGAGTGTAATTATTATTGCCTCTTATCGTACTTTGATGTTCATTCTATCGACAGTGCGAGCATAGTTTTTTTTTGGTTTGGACATGTTTGGTTTTTTTGGTTAGGACATGTTTGTTTTGTTGTAGTACGGATTTAGACTGATGGCCTTAATCTTAGTTTTCTTGTGGTTGTTGTTGTTGTTTGATTTGCATCCCACTGGGATTTTTTGCACACAGCGTTGGTGTACGGTGCTTTTTTCAGGAATATTTTGCTGTTTTTTCATGGATTTTCTGTTTGCAGTCACAAAGTCACTTTAAGATGTTTTTCTTGTTCGTGTTTTTGTTTATTGTGGTTGCACCCGATTCAAGAGCCGAATGGCTCACAGGGCTATACCGAAATAAATAAATAAAACTGAAACTGAAAATAGTTGTCATTCTTAACAACTTTTTCTATTGCAATTAACTGTACTTTGTGAGTAAAGTTTAGATTTTTTTTTACATACAATACAGTGCTTTGAAATATTTCGATATGAAAGGCCCTTGATAAAATAAAGGTGAATGTGTTTGTTATCATAACCAGGGCTTCATTTAAGCCTGATCTGTCCAGGGCAGTAAACCGGCAAGAAATGTTTCCACACCCGGCACACCACATCCAGTACACTTCTCGCCCTGGCTGGCTGTGGGCTACTGATCGTGGTGCCTCCACCCGGACATTTACCGACGCGAAGGCAAACATTTTGTAGAGAAATGAAGCCCCTGCTCATAACTCACCCAGGAGATTCTCATCCTTAGCCTCTCCTCTGACTAATCACCCTTCACCAAATTAAGGGGGCGTCAAGAGGAAATGGGTTCAGCACCCTCCCTCCTGACCCAGTTGACCCCGGAGCCAATTAATATCACCTCTTCGCACCTCTTCGCACCTCTTTACTTTGAATCCTCAATGCGGCATTACCTTTCCTCTCACTGATGATGTGCGGTGCGATGTGGCACTCACCGGCATGCCTGGTGTCCCTGGAAACCCTGGGGTTCCTGGTGCTCCCTGTGTGGCAAAAGAATGAAGTCAGAGTTTGCGCACACACATATGTTGCGTAAAAAAACAAAGATCCCCCGTATAGCCTCAACAGACTGTAGGGGAAAGTGCTGTTAGCGAGCACCTATGCACACACATGCACACACAAACGCAAGCATGCGCCCACATCTCGCCAGTGCCACACCTGCTCCCGACAGAGAGATGGCAGCCTCTCCTCCCTCGTGAGCTTTCAGACTTTCCATGCAGCCAGCTGAAGAAATGTTCAGTTTTATATCGAGTCGTTCATGCAAATTGCATTTTACAATCGCTGAGGAACCACAGACAGTCTGTATGGCAGCCAGGCGGTCAGCCAGCTCCAACAACTGCCTGAGCTCTGAAGTCCTCGACATATATATCTCAAGATGTTTTCAGCCAATGAATGGGTGTTTACGCGTGTGGGTGTAAACCGTAGCGCCTGGAGGAAACCCACGGGCGACGCGACGATTTTAACGGGGAACGGCCTCGCCCTGGTTGACCTGCACGGGGAGGATCTGGGCTCGCGTCGGGGCCTGCGTTTTATTTGCTCCATTCTTTAAACAAAAAAAAATTACATTTGGCCTGGTTATGACTTGCCGTGCCGTGCCAAGGCGAGCGGAAACCAGACGCGCCTGGTAATGGGATGCACGCGGTGCAAATCTACAAACATAATTATGCCTCGGAACAGCGCAACGGAGACGTGGCAGCCGCTCGTCATAAACAAGGGCAGACGACCGCCCACCTGCCCGCCTGCCCGCCTGCCCGCCTGCCCGGCCGGCCTCTGCTGCTACCCTGCCCGCTCGCCTGTGGCTCCTTCTCCACGCGTCTGCGAGTCGCCCTCGCTGGCTCTTCGCGAAGCGAGCCGGATACTGTGCAGTGCCGCATGTTACGAGTTGAAATTACTCTCATTCCTATCATCGGTAATAATGGCCATCGTTGCCGCGTAAGGAAATGATACGGATATGGAAACTTGTTTCTTTATAACTGTTTGGTGTCCTTCTCCAGCACCTCAGATTAGCGTGATTGGCTACGTACGGTGCAAAAGAGGTTCAACACACAGACACTCTCGCGGATGGGTGAAGGCCTACGCATACCGTGTCGTTCGGCGCCTGTCTGATCACAACTGTGTGGTCATTTTCTCCAAATTGCATTCGTGGAGAAGTGGGCTAGTCATTAAGCCCCCGGGTAATGGGATGTAAACGGTAATGGGATGACTATGGTGACGTGTGCACATGGTAATGGGATGAATATGATAATTGGACGAATATGGAATGCATATGGAAATAGGATGAATATGACACTGGGATGAATTTGTCGCGTAACTCCCCTTATCCGTGAAAAACAACTCCAGATAACAGGGAGCCGTTATGCAAATCGGGATGGCAAAATAACTGTGGATAATCAGAGATAAGGGTAATTATAGGGCTCGAGATAGTAAGATATTTATTTGACCCTAAAATAGAGTCGAATGAGAAAATTAATCCTGTAGTGTTATTTTTTCGTGAAAATATTTGTATTTTAGCAGGTAAGGCCCACTGAGCTACGTAGCTCTTTTTCAGAAGCGACCTGGCCACAAATGATAGCTCAACGAAGTGGCTTCTCATCACGTGGAAATGTATGGCAGCAAGATACTCTATATGCATGTTTCTAAAATGTGGAAGGGGACAAAGCAGAGGACCGGGAGATAAAACCCACATGACCACCGGGAGAGAGAGACACGCAAACTACAAATATACAGCAGCAGGCGTCGTCAGGGTCGGGATCGAACCCACGACCTTCTGTCTACTAGGCGAGGCAGTTAGGGAACGCTGCTGCATGGGAGTGCTCTTGTGACGCAGGACTGGCGTGGCGGGGAGGAGAGGTGCAGCTGGCAGCACCCGGGTCACGGGTCACGGGTTATGCGCGTCGGTTGGGAGGAACTCACCCTGAAGCCCTTGGGCCCAGCGTGGCCCGTGTCTCCCTGGTCGCCCTGCAGAAGCACAATTCCAACGTCAAGCCGAGTCCCGAGTGTCATGTGCGGAGCAAACAAGCAACAGATCCGCACTCGTTTAATGTTGGGCGTCCACATTCCCATGAACCGGTTCTTGCTGTGCGAGTGTTAACGAATGCGCCTCCTCCTGAGCTCCGCGGGACAATGCAGCAGCTGAGCTTCTCGCAAATGAAATACTTTCAGACCTCAACACGGTACTTTGAAAGCTCTGCGCGTGATGAGTGGTGGTATGGTGTGGTGTTGGATGGTCACGTGTAGTGTAGTACGGAGTGTGGTGTTGGGCGATGAGAGGCAGTGCAGCATGGAGCGTGGTATGATGAGAGGTATCATGGTATGACGCCATGTGATGTGGTGTGTTGTGCCGTGGTCTGCGGGGTGTGGGTCGTGAATTTCACTTGCCTTGCCGCCCTCTGGCCCAGGTGGGCCCTCGGGCCCTGAAAATCCTGGCAGTCCCTGAGGTCCCTGCAGGCCTGGGAGGCCTGATGCACCCTACACACCCACACAACAACAAAGACACAGATCCCCGTACAGCCTCGTACACACTTCTGGGGCAAGTGATGTTAATGAGCACCTCTCAAAGCTGGGCATGGCACTTGATGGGATGGTGTGGCCGACACTACATCAGGCAATCTTCATCTCCCCAGTGCCGATGTTCACACACCACAAGAGGTACTCATTGAAGGCTGAGTTGACCAACGGGATGCCCAGGAGAGGTTCAGATATCACTCCCCACTGATGATAGCTCCCGGTGGCTTCCTAATATCAGAAAGAAAGAGCGTTTCAGACGGCCGCAGAAGCGCATCTGAAAGCGCCACGCGATGCGGTGACCGCAGTCTGAGTTGGATGGGCAGCCAAAAGCCACTGCTGCTGCGAGGATGACCGAAGTTCTCGCGATGATGGTTTATGCTCCTTAACAAGATCAGCACCATCCGCGTAACAAATCAAACGAACTGAACGCTCAATCACGCAGCCGTGGAGCGACTTGGCAGACCGGAGCTCGCCTAAGGGTTGGTGGTGGGGGTGGGGGTGGAAACGATGATCTGGGAGCCGGAGGGCCCCACTTCCCCAGGGAATCCCGGCTGGCCCAGTGTCCTGCCCGGCTCCCCCTTGGCAGTGCCTTAGCCCGAAGCGAAGGCACTGCCAAAGTGTGGCAAGGGCCCAGACTTGCCACCGTCACCACGAGCAACATCCGTGGCCGAGCCTGTCGCGTTTCACGTTTGCCTCTGGCAAATTGGGAGTCGGCGAAGCGACCCAATTGACTAAATCCGGCCCTCGCTTTCCACCAAAGTGGTTAAATAGATTTCGAGTCCATCATCCCAGCCTTACATGTTGCGATTATCCCTAATTGGCTTTGCCCGATTTCCCCCTGGGAGGCGAGCTAGTGGGAAACTTCCATTTGCCGCTTTTGATCATCGCAAAACGTCGAGTGAATTGCGTGAGGTTTTTTGTTCTCTCTCTCGTCGGTGCAGGAAGTCATCGGCTGAGAGGTGGGAGGCGGGGGGAGGGGGTGAGCGACGACCTGGGGCAGACAGAAGACGCAGGGTGGCACTGAGACCCTGCTATGCCTGGACGACTCGATGTGGGCTTGCTGTGGTTGTTCCGATACTGGCTGTTTGGGCTGAGCTGCAGCTGGGTCGGTAGTTAAGGCAGAAGAGTGCATGCCTGTGCGCGATGCGCACAGCTGAACGGATGCAACAGAGGATTAGCAGGCGGCGACAACATTTGTAGCGTATCACGGATTGTTTGCGAGCTGCAGTGTTGGTGAGTTAGCGAGCGGGTGGGTGTGAGCTGCAGTATCGAGAGTGGGTGGGTGGCCGAGTGAGCGAGTGTGTGTGTGGTGGTTGAACACAGCAGATTGGATAAGACGAAACGGTCAGTGCTTCTGCTGTGAGGATGAACGGAGTTCTCGCGATGATGGTTTATGCGCATTAAAGACATCAGCACCTTCCGTGTAACAAATCAAATGAACTCAATGCTCAATGACGCGACTTTGCAGAGCGGAGCTTGCCCCGGGGTTAGTGGCAGTGCCGGATGGTCCTCGTAGCAAAAGTAGCATATTCTACTTTTCAGTATCTCATTATCCTAGTAGCAACAGTAGCTACAGTGAGGGAAAAAAGTATATGATCCCATGCTGATTTTGTACGTTTGCCCACTGACGAAGAAATTATCAGTCTATAATTTTAATGGTCGGTTTATTTGAACAGTGAGAGACAGAATAACAACAACAAAATCCGGAAAACGGACGTCAAAAATGTTATAAATTGATTTGCATTTTAATGAGGGAAATAAGTATTTGACCCCCTCTCAATCAGAAAGATTTCTGGCTCCCAAGTGTCTTTTATACAGGTAACGAGCTGAGATTAGGAGCACACTCTTAAAGGGAGTGCTCCTAATCTCAGCTTGTTACCTGTATAAAAGACACCTGTCCACAGAAGCAATCAATCAATCATATTCCAAATTCTCCACCATGGCCAAGACCAAAGAGCTCACTAAGGATGTCAGGGACAAGATAATGGACCTACAAAAGGCTGGAATGGGCTACAAGACCATTGCCAAGCAGCTTGGTGAGAAGGTGACAACAGTTGGTGCGATTATTCGCAAATGGAAGAAACACAAAAGAACTGTCAATCTCCCTCGGCCTGGGGCTCCATGCAAGATCTCACCTCGTGGAGTTGCAATGATCATGAGAACGTTGAAGAATCAGCCCAGAACTACACGGGAGGATCTTGTCAATGATGTCAAGGCAGCTGGGACCATAGTCACCAATAAAACAATTGGTAACACACTAAGCTGTGAAGGACTGAAATCCTGCAGCACTTGCAAGATCCCCCTGCTCAAGAAAGCACATATACATGCCCGTCTGAAGTTTGCTAATGAACATCTGAATGATTCAGAGGACAACTGGGTGAAAGTGTTGTGGTCAGATCAGACCAAAATAGAGCTCTTTGGCATCAACTCAACTCGCCGTGTTTGGAGGAGGAGGAATGCTGCCTATGACCCCAAGAACACCATCCCCACCGTCAAACATGGAGGTGGAAACATGCTTTGGCGGTGTTTTTCTGCTAAGGGGACAGGACAACTTCACCGCATCAAAGGGACGATGGACGGGGCCATGTACCGTCAAATCTTGGGTGAGAACCTCCTTCCCTCAGCCAGGGCATTGAAAATGGGTCGTGGATGGGTATTCCAGCATGACAATGACCCAAAGCACACGGCCAAGGCAACAAAGGAGTGGCTCAAGAAGAAGCACATTAAGGTCCTGGAGTGGCCTAGCCAGTCTCCAGACCTCAATCCCATATAAAATCTGTGGAGGGAGGTGAAAGTTCGAGTTGCAAGCGTTAGCCTCGAAATCTTAATGATTTGGAGAAGATCTGCAAAGAGGAGTGGAACAAAATCCCTCCTGAGATGTGTGCAAACCTGGTGGCCAACTACAAGAAACGTCTGACCTCTGTGATTGCCAACAAGGGTTTTGCCACCAAGTACTAAGTCATGTTTTGCAGAGGGGTCAAATACGTATTTCCCTCATTAAAATGCAAATCAATTTATAACATTTTTGACATGCGTTTTTCTGGATATGTTTGTTGTTATTCTGTCTCTCACTGTTCAAATAAACCTACCATTAAAATTATAGACTGATCATTTCTTTGTCAGTGGGCAAACGTACAAAATAAGCAGATCAAATACTTTTTTCCCTCACTGTACACATGTAGTAGCTACCTATGTAGCAGCTACACATATGTAGTAGCTACTATGTAGTAGTAGCTACGGGCCCCACACTTTCAAGGGCCCCGCGCTAAATGCTTTCAAGCTATCAATTCCGGTTCAGCGATTCTGCACTTGCTCTATTACTATAGTACTATACCGCCTTCGACTTTTGCGAACGACCGGGTGTTTAAGGTTAGCGATTTGTCGTATTATCTGGCTGTAAAGCAAATGAAAAATACAGTTACTTTACTGTGCAAGTAAAACATTTGTGTGTTTTCATATTTACGTTTTTTTTTAATTTAGGGCCCCTTTATAACATCATGCTACAGGCCCCGCACTAACTTCATCCGGCACTGGTTGGTGGTGGTGGGGGGGGGTGGAAACGATTACCTGGGGAGCCGGAGAGATCAATGAGCGAGACCCACGGGAGCGGTGACCACGGTAGTCGCGACAAAAGAGCGACGAGCAGGCTACTGACCGCCGGTGAGCGAGTGAGCTTTGAGCGAATCAGCGCAGATTCATCAATCACCGTGACCGCTTTATACTCTGAATTCTGCCAGGTTACAGCGAGACGGGAAACTGAATGCTCCCAGCTCGATACGACAACATCAGTAGTCCAACGTCTGGCCAACACCTCGTGTCCGCTCCGGTGAGAGAGACGTTTGGATGATGGAAGATGTCTTGCGGTGCTAGGGGGTTGAGGCTGGGAGCGAGTGGCCAGCCGGTGGAGGGTGGTGGAGTTGAACATCTCACCTTGTCTCCCTTCGCTCCACTGCAGTCGCATGACGATCCTGAGGAACAGCCGTGGCACGCCTAGAACAAACGACAACAACCACAACATTGCTCAACAACAACAACAACATATAAGACAAAGACAAAGCTCCTCCGTATGGCCTTGACAGACCGTTGGGGCAAGTGCTGTTAGCGAGCACCTATGAAGGCCGGCACGGCACACGAGGAGTGTGAGTGGCCAACACCACGCCCGACCGCCTTTGCCTCCCCAGTGGCAATGTTTTTACAAACCGCACAAGGTACTCATTTGAGGCTGAGTCGACCTAGGGGAGGCCCAGGACCGGTTCGGATAATCGTCACCGGTGTTGACCGTGAGCGCGGATCGAACCCGTGGTTAGCCAGGTTCGCAAGCGCAGCGTAGCGCTAACCGCTGCGCCACCGCTCCACCAAGACACACCGTGGCACAACACAACAACGGATGCCACGCAAGTGCCGACGCCTCCGTACGGTGCGAAGGAAGTTGGACGCACGCGTGCGTACAGCGCCTCGCGCGTGTTTGTGTTCTATGGTTGCACTCGACGTGGCAGCGGGGTTCACGTGCGCCTACGGCACCACCATCGCCACCAGAGGGCAACACTTTGGTTGCGCGCAACGAAGCCAGTGGGTCACGTGGAATGAGAATAAAATAATAAATTGATAAAATAAAATAACACAATAAAATTCTCACGACGTTTCGGCCACAACACAAGCGGCCTTCACCTGATGACTTTACCGAAAGAACCAAAGAAGATGAATCCTTGCAGTCACGAAAGCTTTAAATCGAAATTTAAAGCCAGCGGGGTCGTTGGACTGGGTTCATTCCGCTGGGGCGGAACGATGTGAGGGGATTGGGGGGCCGTGGGTGCGACGACGCACGGAAAGGGGGGGGGGGCAGACCGGCCACAACGGGGGGGCCTCGAATCAACGGAGTGAAACAAGGAACAAAACGTTAAGAACATTTTACTTGTACAAAAATATTTATGTTAAAAAGTGACCTGCGGTGCACCGCGGACCGTGCTCGAGGAAGGACGGCGTCTGGCTATCACCGTCGATCGAGCGCCATCGCGCTGTGGCGATCCATCCCATGGGAGGGGGCATGAAGCAATACGCACGGTAACTTAAATGTGAGTATTGGTACCTTTTTATCTGTTTATTCATTATTAATATCATCGCCGTGAGACTGTCTTCCTCTCTACACCCAATACACGGTGCAACTAGAGTAATGTATACAGTGTAGGGGCCGTCCATAGATGACGTCACGCGATTTTGGACGATTTTTTACCCCCCCCCCCCCCCCTTCGTCACACGACGTCACAAAGAGTCAGACCCTCCCTCAAATATGACGTCACAAAGCTCTGCCCCCCACCCCCCACCCCATAAAATATATAAAACATGCTTCAAATCGCTTTAAACTATTCTCATTGTAATACGTGTTTAATGTGGCGCTGCACCACTGTGATGTTGTAGGAGAAAGCATTTATTAAAAAGTCTACTTAATTAAGTAGAACGTGTTCTCTATATTTATTTAAAGTTGCGCATTTTGATGTGACGTCACATTTCTCAACCCCCCCCCCCCCATCGTCACACATCGTTACAAATGTCTGACCCCCCCCCCCCAGGTGCGTGACGTCATTTATGGAAGGCCCCGTAGTTATATGCCTACATGTTATCGTTATACGGGGTTAAAAACATCGGTAGCTATTTGAGTAAAAAGTGAGTCGGGGGGGGGGGGGGCGATTAGGGAGGCCCAGAGTCGGGTTGCCCCCTAATCAACCCCTCCCAGGACAAGTAACAACCCCGATGCCCCTTCTGAGAGCCACTCAACTCTGCAAGGGCAATTGCTTTTGATTGGGCAAAATGAAGTCTTTTCAAGTGCGAGAGTGGCGAGAAAGGTAACATCTGTTATTGACGAAAGTGTCGTTTAAAAGGATTTTGACCGAGTTCAAATCCCGGTTGGGGGGTTGACTCAGCCCATCATCTCCGCGGGGTCGATAAAATTAGTACCACTCTGTCGACACGCCAACGGTGGTTGTCCTATGACGCACCCCTGCCATATGAACGCGGAATTTCCATCACTGGTTCAAGAGAGAGCTGTAAACGGGAAGAGAGCACTGACTAAATGCTCACGGACCGTTCTTGATTTTTATAAAATCACAACATTGACGGTGTAAAGATTGTATCGCAAGCACAGCGGGCAGGACAATTATCCCCACACCCGTCACACGTCACCGCCATTCTACATACAAACGAACCAGAAAATGTTGAATGATGGATTAATAATTGCTGCTCGCATGAATTCTGAGTGCCCGGCTTGCCTTGAGAAATGCTCCTAGGAACGCGTCATGTTCGGCATAGCCCGTAGCCTGCGCTGCTCCTTCCTCACCACGGCTATCCCGAAAGGATGGCTTCTCAAGAGCAATTCTCACCAATCGAACCGTGAATACCGACATCAATTACAAAAGCAGCCCTTGCTGGCAGAAAAAAAAATCACGCAATAATAATTAGAATGTAAATTTGTAAAGTGGGCCCGTTTCATCCGAAGGTCCCACCAATGCGCCACCGCCGTGAATGGAAAGCCACGAATTAAATTGAACCTGCAGGGTACATGGCCCGGACTAGTTGGGGTGGGGGTGGGGGGGTAGAGGCCGGTTTACAGAGGTGACTTTACAGAGGTGAGTTGACAGAGCTGAGTTTCCCTTCTCCGCCGTGTGGTCCCGTCGCGGCGGAATGGATTGCCGCGAACTTTCTGTACCACCGTCGCTGGAACCTTTCGGCGTGCCGTATCGGGCTCGCGTTTTTTATTTTATTTTTTGTAACGAAGACGTGAAAAAAAAACCCTAAATATCGCAAAAAGGCTACGATCGCCTTGTCAGCAAAGCGTTCCAAAGCTTGGGAGCGGCACGGTGGCCACATCCCGATCACCCCGGGACACGCGCAGTGACGATCCGCCTTGTTCACCCCGGCATTGTCCAAGCGGAGCTGGCTGGCATGCTGTCAACAAAGAAGCAGACGCGAACATCGCGAGTTTAACTCGCCAACACAACTCTGCGGGGAGGAGGAGAATGAAAAGTACCAAAAACGTGTTGGCAGCGTGTCTCCGACGTAACGGTCGTGCGTGTTTGGGCAGTTCATAATTGTGAACGACATTAATCGTTGAAAAGCATCGCACGCACAGCCAGCTGTCTCTTTATGTGGCAGTCTCCTTTTGTAAGTTGTTGCAATATTCCTTATGGGCCCTGCTGCTTTACTCGTTCTCTGCGCTGTCGACGGCTTTATCTTTGTACTGTTGCTGCTGCTGCTGTAGTAGTAGCAGCAACGCAGCAACCACCGCGGATCTCTCGCGCAAAATAGCCGGGCGGCTGGCTGAACGACATCACCATCCGTGTAACCTCAGGAAATAAACCGAAAGCCTACAACAGTAGGAATCGTCGACAGATCGCCGTGCTGCGTGCAAGGACAGCTCCACGGCGTCTTCACCGTGACACTCCCCAGCTTTGTAGGTCGACACTAATCTTGTTGGGAGCTATCCGCACCAACACTCACCGTGCTCCCCCATGCAAAGCTATGTCCAGAACTTTTAGTCATCCCTCCTACCCACCCACACCACACCACTACGTCCGTCTTTGCCTTCCTATTTTGCCCCTTCTGCTTTTAATTCTCCCAGAGAATGAGGAGGAGGACGTGTGGGGAGCAGGGTCGCCGAATCCGTAGCGCAGAACGCTAAAACCACGACGCTACCGCGTGCCCCAGGGCACACGCACACACGTTACATGCCCACATCACACACACGCACACACACGAACAACATGAATAAATACACGGGCACGTGGTACTAATTTAACAAGTTATCCCTCCGACGGGGGGTGGCGGCGAGGCCGTGGGTGGGTGGGGTGTGTGGGGGGCTCCGTCTAATGATGAACAGTCGTCCTGGGGAATAAAAAAAAAAAGGTACTGGAAATGCTGCACCCGACTTATAATGTCAAAATCATGCGTTCAGCTCAAACGCGAGGGCGCAGAGCGCGCGGATCAAGGACGCGCGGAGAGTGGCTCGCGCCGGCACGGAGACGCTGACACGTGCACACGAGGGCATGTGGAAACACACGGACGCTTTTTTTTAAACAAAAAAAAAACCTTCCCAGAAAGCCGACGTATGGCAAGCCCGCTAGCTCGAGCATACCCAACGTAACCATATCCATATTGTGATTGTAAATCGCGCTCGCTGCGCACGCAGGCACCGATGCAACGGCCAGGCCGAAAAATTGTTGGCCCCGTCAACTCAGTCAAGTCGTGCTCGGATGACTATTCAGTTGTTCGCCATCTGACTGGCAATTGACAGCGGGGTTTTTTTTTGTCTTTTGCTACCGGTGTACATCACCCTGCGCGCAATGTGAACGTGAGCCGCGCGGAGGTGGCTGCGCTGCTGCACGTGGCTACCTGTAACCAAGTGCTGTGGAGGCAGCAGCAGCAGCAGCAAGGATTGGTGGATCACCGCACACAGACGTTGCGATACTACTCCCCGTGCGTGTCGAGGTGCCATTAGCCTGTCTTGCTAGGAGAATGGCAGAAATGTGCCCTTCCACCTGTTCCGATGATTAGCACTGTTGGCTTCGTACCGTTCGAAAGAAACTTCAAGATGCATACGTATGGGATAGAGTGTTTCCCCCTCACGCCATGGGTGTGTTTTCTCCAGGGGCTCCGGTTTCCTCCCACATGTTAACACCTCAATGTATAGAGGACTGGACCGCAGAGCTTCGGGAAATTGTTGGCGCCGGCTCATCACGTGGCTACCTCTCCGCTCGTCTGTTGTTCCTCGTGCCACTTGAGTCGTGCTCTCTCTAGGAGCGCGAGCGAATGACTTTCCGCTGCGGTACAACTTGACACTGTTCTATTACAAAGAATATGGAACACAAGCTAGAAAGGTGCGCAGAGGAGCGTGCAGCAGTGCTTGTGGGTAATTACGCCGAAAGTAAAACACGTTATAGTCTTTGGGTCTGTCGGTAAAGTCACTTTACAGAAAGACCCAAAGAATATGAATTCCTGCA